TTGAGAAGAACCCAAGTTCCGTTTGTCGTATTTACGACAAACCACACTACATCCCCCTGAACCGCTTTTCATTCGACACTGTGGAAATACTTTTATGCGATGACTTGGGACAAACGCTCTCATTCACAAGTGGAACGTCGGTGTTGACACTCCATTTTAGAACACGTAAACATTTCGATCTCGAATAACTCACACCATGGTGAAACACACACTTTTACATCGAAACCCTAAATTGTACGAGGATTTTTACTGTAACCAGTACGGTGATGGTTTACCCGTTTTTATCGGTGGACGAAATCAGAGAGGACACGGTATTGGTAGTTTCTTTAGTGGTCTAGGTCGAATGGTCCTCCCTTGGATAAAGACGGGAGGTAAGGCTTTACTCAGAGAAGGTGTTAGTACCGGGTTGCAAGTTGCAAACGACGCATTAGCGGGAAGAGACGTTGGAGAATCGTTTAAAGAACACGCCAAGGAAGCCGGACATCGTTTATTGCAAGGCGCCGTTGATCACCTAGGACAAAACCAATCAGGAAGCGGGTTGAGAAGAAAGCGGGGGTTCTCGAGACCACCGGGTGAACCCTTCGAACAACAGATAAAACTAACACGCAGACCAAACCACAAACATTCGAAGACGTGTGTTAAGAAGAAGCATCCCAAGTATTCAGATATATTTGCTTAACCATGGCTCTTATTCACCCGAGTTCCTGTGAGTGCTTACATTCTGGATTGGATTTATTTAGTACACCCCCGACACAAACTGCCGTCGAGGAGGGTCAATTTGTTGAAATACATCCCCTGGCGTCCTTGGCACAAGGTGCACCTATAGAATTTGCCATTTCTGGCAACAGTGAAGACTATCTCGATTTGTTTAATACTTATTTACACGTGCGCGCTAAAGTAACCTTAGCGAATGGTGATTCAATACCTCCTGACGTTGATGTCGCACCCGTCAATTATTTTTTGCACAGTTTATTTTCACAAGTGGATATTTCTCTAAACGATACGCTAATTACTGCTAGTGAGAACACCTATCCGTATTGCGCCTATCTGGAAGCTACGTTAAATCACGGGGAAGAGGCCAAGAATGGGTCTCTATCGGCCGCTCTTTATGCGAGGGACTTAGCCTGTTATTTCGAGGAATTCAAAGATGACAATAATGAAGGGTATAGGATTCGCCGCACCACCGCTGCTGAAAGTCATGAGATCGATATGATGGGACGTATACACTCTGACATTTTCGCTCAAGATCGGTATATGCTGAATGGTGTTGACATTAAAATTAAACTTACACCCGCAAAAGACAGTTTCACTCTCTTGACAGCAGAACCAAACAAGGGATATAAAGCGGTTATAACGTACGCAACATTGGTTGTTAGAAAAGCCAGACTTAACCCCGCCATTTCTATCGCACACGAAAAGGCTTTAACGACAACAAATGCAAAATACCCTTTTAAACGCGTTGTAATAAAAACCTTTGCTATACCGAAAGGTATGTTAAGTCACAACCAAGACAATTTGTATATGAGTCAAACACCGACCCGTTTAGTGATCGGTCTAGTCGCCTCTACCGCCTTTAATGGAAGTTACACGAAAAACCCCTTCAATTTTCAACATTTTCACTTGACGTATTTAAATGTAAGCGTTGATGGTCGCTCGTTATCGGGAAAACCACTGGTCATGGACTTTGATAAGAAACAAGCCATTAGAGCGTTTTTCAATAGTAACCTCGCTCTTGGTATGGTTGGAAAAGATGCTGGTAATGGGATAGATTATAAAAACTTTAAGAACGGGTATACCCTGTTTGCTTTTGATTTAAGCCCTAGTCTTTTGGATGGTGAACAATTTGAATTGGCTAAATCCGGACCTGTTTCTATTGAACTTAAATTTTCACAAGTTACAGCTGACCCGATTCAAGTTATTGTGTATGCTGAACTTGATTCGGTGTTAGAAATTTCGAAAACGAGACAAGTGTTGACAGATTACACCGCCTAACTTGGCCTATACAAGAAAATGAACACAAGAGAACTACAAAGTATACTGGCCGCGGACTTATTTGTGCAACGCACAACTCTCTTTGCCGTTTTAGCGTGCGATCAGTTACCCGCGCGTCTCGATAGAACGAAGCAAGCGGCATTCATTATCAATCTAGATTCGTCCTCGGAGGCAGGGAGTCATTGGGTTGGTCTATTTTTCAACGGACTATCGCAATTTACTTATTTCGATAGTTTTGGCTTACCACCTCGGGAGCCGGCCATTTTGTCTTTTATAAAAAATAACTCAAACAGACCACTCGTTTACAATTCAAGAGTGTTACAAGATATTCTAACCAACAGTTGCGGGTTATATGCAGCCTATTTTGTTTTGAAGAAAGCTCGCGGTGCAAATTTAAAAGTTATATTACAACCCTTTTCGGCGTCAGCGAATCGTCAATATATTAACGATCGTATTATATTACGTTTAACACTTCAAATTATTGGAACTAATTATAAAAGATTTTTTCAAGATGTCTAATGAAGATTGGCTACTTGTGGCCAGAGGTAACAATAAAGTGACGGAAATACAAACGATGAATCACACCGGATTTAAATTGGCGATTGTTAGCCAATTCATGAACAAAAACACTTTAAATCTTAGAGAGCTTATAGATGGGACCGATCTTAATTTTCCTACAAATTCTGGTGTTTGTATGAGTCGCGTCTGCTTTGAGCGCCTGTTAAGTTTACAGGATGAAATTTTAAAAGCCTTTGATGAATTGGAAAAACGTTAATAAACAAATAAAATATAAGAAGACTTTTGTTCTAATTTTAGTGTGTGTGTGTGTGTGTGTATATACGTGTAGCATACGCGTACTAGAAAACCAACAAGGTAATGTCCGGTTGCTCAACCTAATTACACCACCAGCTGTCGCACAACAGCTGTTGCATAATGACCTACGTGCTTCGCGGAGAGGCACTTAATGTACGTCGTTAATTACCATAACCCGTCAACCGAGCGGGGGAAACTCGGTGAAGCATAACAAGATTTAATTAGGTGTGATGGCCCCGTGGGTGCGATCAATATTAGCTCGCCCGTTGTTTGACAAAAACAAAGGATTGCAGATCGATAAGTAACACATGTTGCACGGCTGGTTAAATGGATGTTATTCACAAAGTACACGCTAGCGCTCCCCTCCACCCCCACCATTACTCCCCCACCACCCCACTCTTCTCCACCCCCACCCCCTCTCCCCCACCCCCGCTAGGTGGTGGTGTGGTTTACTATTAAACATACATACAAAGAAACAAAAATGAATTATACCCCATGGTGTGTCACCACCACCCCCAGGTCACCACTACTCCCCCTCTCCCCCACCCCCTCTCCCCCACCCCCACCATTACTCCCCCTCTTCTCCACCACCCCTCCCCCTCTCCCCCACCACCACCACCACCACCCTGCTCCACCACCCTCCACCAGGTGGTGGAGTATTTTACTATATGTCATTGCGCCAGGCTGCGGCAGGCTGGGGGAGTATTTTGCTATATAACCTTTGCGCCAGGCTCCACCACCCAAATACTAACCAAAAGCGACCTAATATACTACTCCTGTTTCTCTGTCCTCGGCATATGAACAGATAGTGTGGTTAGCACTATGAAAAAAACATTTCTTAATTAATAAGTCTTTTTTGTATTTATTTGTGTGTATCTAAGCTAGGGTACTTAAGGGAAAATATTTGCATGCATAAAGGATTCTTCTGAAAATATGATTGCTATGCAACGGCGGCCATCTTTAAAAAAACTTTTGTTGAGGTCTCAAAGCTAAAAAGCTAACGATTATATTGATCTGAATAGAGTCCGCTGGCTAGTTTTTGTAACAGAAATCAATCTAGTGATTTTATGTTTTTTAATTTTCAAAATTGTGTATGGTGAGATACCACAAATGTAATTACCAGTAAATAACATTGATAATCCAACATAGGAATTCTTATCGTTGGTTTATCAAATATCAGTAGCCCAAACTTCTTGGTATACCAAATTAAGTACCGGTAAGCCTTAGTTATTGTAACTACACTTAGGATAACTTGTTACGGATTCGAATAAATAATAACAAATTGTTCGCTAAAAAACAATTTTACTTAGGCTATATTTGGCTTTTTAAATTAGCCTTCATTTTGTAATCTACTTTTACCATTGTTAAATAAAATTGTTAAATAACAATAGCGCAAGAACCTTCTCTATTTATTCTTCTTTATACGGATTTAATAAAAAATATTCACATTTGGTTTGACAGATACTAGCTGGCAAGTACGAAAACGAGTCGTTGGTGACCTACTTACAAGCCCTATTTGTTCACACTGCATAACATACAACGCCAAGTTGTCACACAGCTATCAGCGTCATATAAAAAGTATAACAACAAGAAACAAATGTATATATAAATTTTGTAATCGAATACAAATTTGACGCGTTTTACAAAATAAAATATGAATAACACAAATTTTAAGGTACTGTAATCGCAATGAAATTAGAAAGAACAACTTTTTTTAATGAAAAATAAATTGTTAATAAAGTTTGTGTACAATACAATATAAAATGTTGCAATACCCATAGTTTTTGTTACAAAGTATAGAAGTGATCATTATTTTAATATCAATGTTTTACCGGATCAAAAATAAGAAGCTTATATGCTTGTAAGAGATTTATAAAACTTATCAAAAGAGATTTCAAAAATGTTATTGTTTTGAGGCAGTGGCGTAGCGAGGTCGGGTGTCACCCGGTGCGGCACTTAATGGTGTCACCCCCCCAGAGGCGTAGCAACCCTTCCCGGGGACAAACTTTCAAGTTTTCGATTTGCACCCCCCTCAAACTTTCGATTTGCACCCCCCCCTCAAACTTTCGATTTTGCACCCCCCCCCCTCAAATTTTTCTCTATATATTTTGTTATATTTTGCCTTGGTGTCACCCCCCCTGAATGGTGACACCCGGTGCGGTCCGCACCCCCCCCCCCCTCACTACGCCCCTGTTTTGAGGTATATACGTTTTTTTTTGCAAGGATTCTTTTTTAAAGTCTGATTGTCAAGAAAAAAATTGGAACACGAGTTGTGTTTTAAGGCATGTTTAAAAAAATTGTAGTTAAACTCGAAAATTCATTAAGAAGGTTGCAACTTTTTAGGAAATGAAGTTTTCCATGTTAAATTGAGCACATCAATTAAAATTAGTTTGTATTAGAAAGAATGACGGAATGTCAATAAATAATTAGTTAAATGAAAAATTAGACAACTACACAAAATATATTCTTTAGCATTTGAAATGACACGACATTTGATAATGATAATTAACAAATGTTACTTTTAAGAAGAGAAAAAAATTATTTTGTTTCTAAAATACTGATCAAAAAGTTATTTAAAAAAATATAGCAGGAACTAGATTAATCTCCTAGTAACATATTCTTTAAGTTTCAAGAGTAATTGTTCTAATAGAACTTTTGTATAAACAAATGTAAAACACAGAGAAAATCTATTTTAAAAAATTAAAAGAATGAATTAAGATTTCGGCTAAAGCTTAATTGAGATACCTAAATACTAAATAGAGGATGTAAAGCTTTACATATTGAAAAAGTTGATACTAATTTATCCAAACTATAGCCATGAAATTTATTGATTTATTAATTCTTAATAACAAAAGCTAAGGTATTTCATAAAATTTTAGATGTAAAAATTAGACTTAATGAGGTCTTCTAATAATAATTTTAAGTTAAAATAAACTTAAATTTGTGCCGTTATATTAAATTTTCTAAAATCTTCTAAGCATTTTTGTATTTTCTTCATTTTTAAATGTTCTACATTCATAACACAAAAGTCACGTGAAGTCACTTATTTTAACATACAACTTAATCCTTGATTAAAGCAACGACAATGATTGCAATTAACACAAGGACACCAAATATTAAAATAAAGATTCCCAAAATTCTTGGCGCTTGATTTTCTGTCAATTCTAAAAGGAATGTAAATAAAAAAAATTAAACAGTATAATATATATATATATATATATATATATATATATATATATATATATATATATATATATATATATATATATATCAGGGGCGGAACTACAGTGCCGCCAGACCCCGCAATGTGGGGTGGGGGGGGGGGCGGGCAGTTTAGGGGCCCACAGCCGACCAAAATCAATTTTTTTACAGTTAAAAAAATATTTTTTTTTGCATTTTTGACTTGATGGTTGTTTTGTAAAAAGAATATTGTAGCTGCGTTTTCATTATGTTTATTCTATATACATCAGCACCAGTCCACTTTCTCCTACAATCAAACATGCTGTTGTCGGCAAAATTCTTTGAAAATAAATCCAACGCGTGAAAGATAGGCAAACGTTCAAACCACTTCCATGAATTATTTCCCTTTTTTAAATAGTCAAATATGTGTGCACTTAAGCACCTTTTAATAGATTTGCACTAAACAAATTAAAAAGCAATTTTTTCTCTTAATTATTATTTTTAAAAAAATGCATAATAAAGAATGACAAAGCATTAAAAGGAAATGTATTTGAAACTAATAATATAAATACAAAAAAACAAACAAAAATAAACATAACGCGAGAAACCATTCACATAGACAACTTTTATACTTAATATTATTTTTACCGACTAACAGACAGGAAGTATTATAGCAAATATGCATTAAAACAGAGATTTTCAATATCACTCACACAAATGACGTATTGTTGAAACTTGTTTAAATTTAAAAAAAAAAAGAGGTATTTCCAATTTATTTTTCTGAAACTCGAACAAGCCCGAAACGAATATTCTATGTTGGTATTTTCATATTTTGTTTATATCTTTATATATATATATATATATATATATATATATATATATATATATATATATATATATATATATATATATATATATATATATATATATATGGGGCCCAAAAAATTTCTTTGCGGGGTGGCCCTTTTTTCTAGTTCCGCCACTGATATATATATATATATATATATATATATATATATATATATATATATATATATATATATATATATATATATATATATATACATATATATAATATAATATGTAATATATGGAGTATGCTATATGTATAATATGTATAATATATATATATGTAATATATATATATATATATATATATATATATATATATATATATATATATATATATGCACACTGTGTATACATGTTTAGCCCAAACACGACTTCTTACCTTTCACTGTAGTGACATTGTTGTCTACATTTATCTGTTCTGTTGTCCTATTTACATTTGTTGTATTATCTGACAATTCTACTTCCGCTTTGCTGTCTCTTACGCAGGATCCGTGCCTTAACACCATATCCGGTTCCGGACAGCAGATGGTATTTTCTCCCTGATTACACGCCCTTACCACATACGGTTCCAACTTGTGATTCCCTTCACCGCATACGTCACATTTCAGACACGTCTCGACTCCGTTGATTCTGGTTTTGTAGAAACCCTCCCCACAACTTAAAGGCAGCTGACAGTCGCCGTTGATCACAACCATATCCCCCCTTGGACAGCACACGGTATTGTTGTCTCCCTTGCAGGGTTGGAGCTCATATTTCTTGTAGAGATTCGAACCCAACCCGCAGACATCACACCGCTCACAGTAGCGAGAGCATTTGCCGATGAAGTCCCTGTAGCACTTGTTGTAGGTGCCGTCTGCGCATGTCACTTCTGTGTCTCTGGTCGGGGTACAGTGTGTCTTGATGACCTCATACTTAAGGAAATTGACGAAACCATTTTAAACAAAAAAAGTTTATAAAAAACACTATCATTTTAAATTTTATAATTAAAATAACATATGCGATTAAAATTTTTAAAATTATTCTAGGTAAACAAGTTAATTAAAAAGTCTAGTGACAATTTTAGCGCAATTTCCTTATATCGAACCTCAGCTTATTAATAGGGTACAAAAATAACGTTTGATTTAATAAGTAAATTAAATCGAGATAAATCATATATTGAGCAAATAAATAATGCAACACAAGTAGTTTTAATAATTCAAAACAAAATAGAAAAAATATTTATTAACGAGATTTTTTAAAAAATCCTTTCGAACCTCCGCTCATTCGCTATGGTAAAATCCTTTCGAACCTCAGCTTATTAATAGGGTACAAAAATAACGTTTGAATTAATAAGTAAATTAAATCGAGATAAATCATATATTCAGCAAATAAATAATGCAACACAAGTAGTTTTAATAATTCAAAACAAAATAGAAACTAGCCTCCCGTATCAGTCGAAAAAAAAGGGGAGAGTAGCCTCCCGTATCAGTCGAAAAAAAAGGGGAAAAATTTAAAAAATCCTTTCGAACCTCCGCTCATTAAAATCCTTTCGATCCTCAGCTTTTGCGCTAAAAACCTACAAGACGCTCAGTTTAAAAATTCTTAATTAATTTTTTGTGACCGAACGAAAGGATATTTTTGAAAACTTTCTTCGGCAATATTGGTTTAAATTATGGCAGGAATCGATTGGTAAATGTTTCAAGTCGATAAGTGGTCTGGTTGCCTAGATATGTAGCAAATACTGAATTTGTTCGAGGTTTTTTGGCTTTTACGGGAAATCCATGAAAGAAACCCGGAATTTTTATGGCCTATGTTCATCCTCGTAACTGGCTTAACATAATTGCTTTTGGAACTAGTCATCGATATTGCTTCGTTGAGGAGGAGATACGACTTAAAGCTGCGGACACACATTCATCCATCCATCCATCCATCCATCCAGAAATGACGGGTTAATAAACGCAATTCTCCAGAATGGAAATTGCGCTAAAAAAAACAACAACTTAAGTTACTTTTATTTTTTTTTACAAGCCTCTAATAATCCCCTTGTTTGTTTGTCTGCATGATTGATGTGAAATCTTGCAGCTCAATTTAACCCATTGGAACGATTATGTTCAAATTATGCAGAAAAACTCATGCAACCATAGCTTTAATACAGAAAGAAAAGGATTTAGTTGTTATATTTTTAGGGCATTAAAAGCATGTTGTTGTTTCTATATTTATATCATGAGTGTTGGTCTATTTATAGATTACAGCATAATCAGATAAACTACCCAGATAAGCAGGTTAATAACACGATTTTGAAGTCAGCCAATGTTAAGGATAACAATAGCGTATAGCATTTTAGAGTTTCATAACAGTAGCCAATTCCACGACATTAGTTTTCGCAGTAACAAAGGAAGTAGAGTTTATCTGTTTTATACCTAATATAAAAATGATTTTTTTGTTAAGTGTGGACACCATAAGCTCAAATTTCTCTAAATTGAGTTATGTATCCAACAAAGTTGATACACATACGGCCAAAGTCATCGAACCTAACTTGGTTCGGTAAGACCTTTAGCCTACCATTTGACCATACGGAATCTTGACCTATATAATTACCAACTACTCAGTGAGTGTCTGCTGGCTATTATATGGATTCCATTTGATAATGTTTTTTCAAGTTGATGTTTTTTTAAAAACTATATTTTCAATAGTTAGGTTATTCCTCAACATATCAAAGTAATTTTTTATCCCACTCAATTATGAAATGATCGCAACTACCTAGTATTACATACATTAATAAAATGAATTCACTTGATATGTTAATACATTACTCTACGAAAGTACAAAATGGCCTAACCTGCCTAGGTAATACATTACTACACTAAAGCTATACTCACCTGTCCAGGTAAAAGATTTACTTAACTAATGTTATACTCACATGCCCAGGTAATACATTACCCAACTAATGTTATACTAACCTGCCTAGGTAATACATTGCTACACTAAAGCTATACTCACCTGTCCAGGTAAAAGATTTACTTAACTAATGTTATACTCACATGCCCAGGTAATACATTACCCAACTAATGTTATACTAACCTGCCTAGGTAATACATTGCTACACTAAAGCTATACTCACCTGGCCAGGTAAAATATTTACTCACCTAATGTTATACTCACCTGTCCAGGTAAAATATTTACTCAACTAATGTTATACTTACCTGTACAGGTAATAGATTTACCCAACTAGTGTTATACTCACCTGTCCAGGTAAAATATTTACTCAACTAATGTTATGCTAACGTGCTCAGGTTATAGATTTACCCAACTTATGTTATACTCACCTGCTAAAGTAATTCATTTTACAACTAATGTTATACCCACCTGTACAGGTAAAAGATTAACTCACCTTATGTTATACTAACCTGCCCAGGTAATACATTACCCAAGTAATGTTATACTCACCTGTTCTGGCTTCAAACACTCCACACATTCCACGTGATCAGAATCTTTAGACATCTCTGACGTCATGAAGGTTCCATCCGGGCAGGGGACACAACCCCCTTGACGGAGATACTCCCCTGCCCCACATAGAACTCGTGCCTCCCTGGCCCGTCTTGACCTGGCTCCGACACCTGGCACGGGTCTGCTGGGGACGTCCGTGTCACACCTACACGCCTGACAACACGGCAGCGAGCTCGCGACTACACACACGATCAACAGGATCAACATCATTGTTTACAAACAGCCGTGTCGAGTAGTATCTAGTGTTTTAGTTATATCGTCATCGTACGTAAGGCTATTTTTAGGAACATGTTAATCCGTTTTTATATTTAACATCAAAAATATATACCATCATCATGTACAATAATATCCACGAATAGTATTCCATATTTGTTACTAAAAGTATATTCATCAGTCTAAAACTGTCTTTTTTTAAAAAAACGTAAAATTATAAAATGTGTTATTTGTACTTTGTCTCTATACATTTGTTAAATTTAACACTGTTATCTTGGTTTTTGGTTGTCGTCACGGTTCAATGAGTAATGGCTGATATCTGCAATCACAGGACGTGATGTAAACAAAAAGATGGGAACGTAAATATTACGCCTGCTGTATCGATTGGCAGTGTTCAAAAGTTTTTTTCTTTGTTTATATATATATATATATATATATATATATATATATATATATATATATATATATATATATATATATATATATATATATATATATACATATATTACTTTCTGATGGTTCAAAAATAAAGCCAAAAGAAAAGCAGGCAGACATCGGAGTCAACGCGACCTATATGGCGCATAACAAATTTACAAATAATACTTAATTAAAAACGAAGAAGAAAGGGCGGCGCCTAGGCTGTGATGTTTGGTAGTGTAACCGGTGGCCCCCCTGAGAGGCCCGAAATGCCCCTGTCATCTGGCCAGTCGCCCGAGGTGTGTTCTACCTGGGGGATCATCAATGTACATTTAAGATTTTCACACAGCGTACCCATAAGAAATCCAATCCTAGAAATAGTTCCGGCATTGTTTACCTTTGAATAACACGAGTTCTAATGATAAAGTCCCTATCTAGAAACAGCTGATTGCGAAAACTGATAACATTTGGTGATATTTAAACTACACAGCATATATATATATATATATATATATATATATATATATATATATATATATATATATATATATATATATATATATATATATATATATATATATATATATATATATATATATATATATATATATATATATATATATATATATATATATATATATAAGGCTAAAAGAAAGAGAGAGAGAGAGGGCTAGACCGTCCTTTCCTGACACAAATTTTCGAAGGCTAAATATAATGCACTTCCTGACTTAGTGTTACCTTGACATTTAACATGTGGATCTCGACTTTACCAAACTTCTGTCTAATGAATGTTGTCTGTAAACTAACGTAAACTTTTTTCCCCAACTTACTGTTTAAAAGAATATCATTATAGATCTTACATCCTACCTGGCCGGCTGTTAATTTCGTTATTTTTTTTTAGCTAAGGAACATCCACGGGTGTTGTATTATTACGGCTTAGAAAAAACTTCACTTTACTGAAAATGCGGGTGTTTTATTCATTTAAAATCTGATGTTGTAGTTACGTGTCTTGCATTGAAGGACGTGGCTGGGGAAGGCATAGAGGATAATTATTTAGCATGGGACTGCAATAATATTATCAAACCAGAGCTGTTGAGTCTAAAGTTAATCTGAGTTCGGAGTGATGCGAATTGGGGTTGGGGATAGAAGAGGGCTGAATCTTCGACATGTTTCGTTTGTGTGTTAGAGTCCTTAGCTTGTTTACTTTTTTTTTTTGCTGAGAGTTCTTTAGCTTGTTTACATTGACTTGCAGTGTGTGTATGCATGTCCATTCCCCAGCAAACTTTGCCTGTTTAGCGGACGTGAAATGTGACTTTCCTGAAACGTGATGCGTTAATTTGTGGTTTTGCGGTCCCAAGTCAGTTTTTGTTGTTTGCAAGTACTCAGATCCAAGAATCTCCATGGTAACCGTAGAACACATTCAGCTGAGCTTGTTCTATCAGTTCTCTTGTCTAAAGACATTTGTCACTTTATTTCATTGTAAGACTTCACCCAAATACCGAAGAGCGCCTGTTTAGTTATCTAGACTATTGTCTAGATATGCTATATGGAACTAGGAGGTCTAGAGGACAGATGATATAGAGTTCACTTGTTTCTGTGACCTCGGTATATGGATCACACAAGGGGTTAGTGTAGGGATTTACTTCCAACTTAAGTCAGGTTCCCGTTTGAGCTAGGTAAGCTCAGGGACATAACACAAGTTAGAGCCTGGGATCCGCAGTCGAGAGCTCTACACCCCGGCCACGCCATTTCATCGTCTACACACACAGTCTGGATGTATTGAATTAAGATTTAGTAGATATAAATCAACTTATTAAAGAAATTATAATTAATTTTTTTTTCAACAATCAAATTTCAAAACCTGTATGCGCTTACTATTATTCTATAATAATAGTTTCGCTGTCTGTGTATGTATCTATCTATCTGACAAGAACGCTCTGTCTGACAAGAACGCTCTAGAGAAAACATAAGAAAAAATTCAATCTGACAAGAACGCTCTAGAGAAAACACAAGCAATTTAAAAACATGCATAGTATTTCGAAAGACGAAGTATGACGTCGACACATTTAGCATGTAGTTGAAAATAATCTCAAGGCGGAAAGTGCACACAGTAATATAATGACGTCATTGATTATCGCGTAAACATTGAATACAAAGGAAATGTTGTCTAATCTAAATGGTTTGCGTGAAGAGTTTCTTGCATACAATTCTTCGGGTAGGGGCGAAGCCCCACCCCCGCGTAAGAACGTCTGAGCCCCCCCCCCCCTAACTCAAAAGAAATTTCTTCATCGATACTCTATAATAAAATTACCGCCTAATTAATGTGTCTAATCTAAAAAGTGGTTTTCTTGCAATTTCTTTAATGCAATTCTTCGGGTAGTGACTAAGCGCGACACCAGTGTTTCTTTCAGACTTTTTCCTCCCCGGAGAGGGGTGGGGGTAATTGAAATTTTCGGGGGCGGGGGTAGAATTTTCGGGAAGGGGGGCGGACACTGGAAAAAGTATATAATTATATTTCGTTGAATGGGACGGTAGACATGATTGTTTTGGGAGTGGGGGGTGGGGGGTGGGGGGGGGGGGGGTGGGGGATGGTGTGTGTGGGGGGGGGTGGGGTGGGGTGGTTTCCTCATCTATACTCTATAATAAAATTACCGCCTAATTAATGTGTCTAATCTAAAAAGTGGTTTTCTCGCAATTTCTTTAATGCAATTCTTCGCGTAGTGGCTAAGCGCGACACCAGTGTTTCTTTCAGACTTTTTCCTCCCCGGAGAGGGGTGGGGGTAGAATTTTCTGGGAGGGGGCGGACACTGGAAAAAGTATATAATTATATTTCGTTGAATGGGACGGTAGACATGTTTTTTTGGGGGGGGGGGGGGGGGTGGAGGGGGGGTGGAGGGGTGGGGGTGGGGGGGCGGTGTGTGGTGGGGGGTGGGGGGTGGTGTGTGGGGGTGGGGTGGTGGGGGTGTGTGTGGGGGGGTGGGTTGGTTTTAGTTTAGAGAAAAGAGACAGCACTATCAGCCTAGCGCCCGTTGTACCCTTCCTCAACGGGCCATTTTTCTCGTCTATAATAATAGTTTCGCTGTCTGTCTGACAAGAACGCTCTGTCTGACAAGAACGCTATGTCTCTATAATAATAGTTTCGCTGTCTGTCTGACAAGAACGCTCTGTCTGACAAGAACGCTCTGTCTGACAAGAACGCTCTAGAGAAAACACAAGCAATTTAAAAACATGCACAGTAATTCGAAAAACGAAATATGACGTCGACACATTTAGCGTAGAGTAGAACATAATCTCAAACCAGAGAGTGCACACAGTAATGTAATGACGTCATTGATTCTCGCGTAAACATTGAAAATAAAATACTTAAAAAAAACTTTTTAAAAAACCACGTTTTTCTTGTGGACTAAAAAGTAGAAAATAACTATTTACATACATTTGATGACAAAAAACGTGGGTACGTTCACCATCAAATTTCCCGACCCATCTGCCCGACCCACGTTTTTTGTCATCAAATGTATGTAAATAGTTATTTTCTACTTTTTAGTCCACAAGAAAAACGTGGTTTTTTTTAAAGTTTTTTTTAAGTATTTTATTTTCTCCTTTTTAGTCCGTTTGCTACACATGAAAAACGTGGTTTTTAAAAAAGTTTTTTATATAGTTTATTTTCTACTTTATCTAATGACTTGATTAAGTATGAATTGACTAAGTGTTTATAAATACACGGACTAAAAAAATCTTGAGCGACCAGGATTCGAACCTGGGTTGTCGCGGCCACAACGAGAAGTACTAACCACTATACGATCACGGCCAGCGCGCTCACATCGATTGGGGCCGAAGTAACTGTGTCAATAAGCCTCCAGTCTTGTCGGTATCTTTAGAAATCATGTCCTCAATTTTATGGTCCTTGGGGCGTAATTAAATTAAGCTAATTACGGTCTCTAATTGCTAGTTTTTATGATTGCATCCGAAATTGTTAGGCGAAAGTAACCTGCATGCCAAATTTCAGATCTATAGAGCAATCAGAAGTGCGCTAATTTTCGATGTCAATTTTAACAACAAACACACAAACGCGAAGCTGAGTTAATAAAAACGTGTTAAAAAGGAAATGTTGTCTAATCTAAATGGTTTGCGTGAAGAGTTTCTTGCATACAATTCTTCGGGTAGGGGCGAAGCCCCACCCCCCGCGTAAGAACGTCTGAGCCCCCCCCCCCCCTCCCCAACTCAAAAGAAATTTCCTCATCGATACTATATAATAAAATTACCGCTTATTAATGTGTCTAATCTAAAAAGTGGTTTTCTTGCAATGGGACGGTAGACATGTTTTTTTTTGGGGGGGGGGGGGGGGGGGTTGGGGGGGGTGGGGTGGGGGTGGTGTGTGGGGGGTGGGTTGGTTTCAGTGTTTCTTTCAGACTTTTTCCTCCCCGGAGAGGGGTGGGGGTACTTGAAATTTTCGGGGGCGGGGGTAGAATTTTCTGGGAAGGGGCGGACACTGGAAAAAGTATATAATTATATTTCGTTGAATGGGACGGTAGACATGTTTTTTTTGGGGGTGGGGGGTGGTGGAGGGGTGGGGGGGGGGGGGGGTGGAGGGTGTGGGGGGGGGGGGGGGTGGGGGGTGGTGTGTGGGGGGGGGGGGTGGGTTGGTTTCAGTGTTTCTTTCAGACTTTTTCCTCCCCGGAGAGGGGTGGGGGTACTTGAAATTTTCGGGGGCGGGGGTAGAATTTTCTGGGAGGGGGCGGACACTGGAAAAAGTATATAATTATATTTCGTTGAATGGGACGGTAGACATGTTTTTTTTGGGGGGGTGGGGGGTGGGGGGCGGTGTGTGGAGGGGGTGGTGTGTGGGGGTGAGGGGTGGGGGTGGTGGTGTGTGGGGGTGAGGGGTTGGGGTGGGGGTGGTGGGGGGTGGGGGTGGTGTGTGGGGGTGGGGGGTGGGGTGGGGGTGGTGTGTGGGGGGGTGGGTTGGTTTTAGTTTAGAGAAAAGAGACAGCACTATCAGCCTAGCGCCCGTTGTACCCTTCCTCAACGGGCCATTTTTCTCGTTATAAGTAATTGAGTAGGGTTTGTTTATATAACGGCATAGAGCTATTTTATAATTTCCACTGTTTGTACAATTTTGCATAACGTAAAGAGAATATTAAATACACGGACATTGCTAAAACATATTAAAAGGATCAATGTCAAATATCGTTTTCGTTAATATTCCTAGAGAAAGTGGATACATTTTAATAACATAATAGCTGTAGGTTAGAAAAATCAAATTACACTGTTTAGTAATTTTGCCAAGGGAGGTATTTTAAAAATAAATTGAACTCAAGCTAAAATGTGAATGCAAAAATCTGCAAGACGGAATAATTGTTGGAATAATATAATTAGCAAAATGTGAATGCAAATTATGCAGACGTGTAAGAGTGCATTATTGTTGGAATATTATAATTAGCATTGATTGATAAAAGGCTATTTTTTATTTATTTTATTCACTGAATGTACTGTTTACTAATTATAATTTTTAATCAACTATTCTCCATTACTATATTAAGTCATCACGTTCATTAGGTGCGCAATGGTTTTAGTCATGAAACTTTATTGTAAATTTTTAAAAGTAGTGAAAAAAATGCATGAATTTATAAAGTGCAATATGGTCGGTAAAACACGGATATTCTAAATACTGCCTTTAATTTATTTGCGGAAAAGCTAGGGGTTTTATAACAGAGGCGTAGCAAGAGGGGGGGGGGGAGGGTGGAAATCGAAAGTTTGAGGGAGGTGGGAGGGTGTAAATCGAAATTTTCCGCCGGCGCTCGGAAAGGGCGCGATTTGGCGCTACGGGATAGACTGTGAGCAATATGCCTTTATGATTACATTTAAATTGAGTTTATGTTGATTGTTGTGTTTGTTTTTTCGTTTTTGTTTTTTCTTTGCGTTCGTTTGTGTTGTATTTAGTTTTGTTGTGGTTGTAATGTGGTTGTGTTGTGGTTGTGGTTGTGTTTTGTTTGTGTTGTGTCTTTGTTTGTTTTGTTCTGTTCCAAAGTTGGTATATTTTAAAAAGATTTACCGCCGTGGCGGAGCACGGGATGCAGCTAGTTGTACGATGTTAAGCTTGAGTGATTCACCTAGCAAATACAAAATGAATGGGTATTAACATCCGCCAGTCATTTTTTTTCTCATGGAGATTTCCATACTTTTATTTCCGCCTGTGTACGGTACAAAAGGAATGTTTGACAGTTTAGAGAAAACACACGAGTCCCGCGATTGGTTTTACATACGAGTGCAAGATAGAACAGACGGTTCGGGTCGTGTAGGAATACTTAGAGACATTAACCTAATGCTTACGTTTTTTATGAGCAAGTGGTGGTTCTGTAAAGGGGGTTTAACAAAGGTTGTTGAGTTGTAAGGTGTAGTTGTCTAGTGTGGCTGTTTGGTGTAGCTGTCTGGAATGGCTGTCTGGTGTAGCTGTCTGGTATGGCTGTCTGGTGTAGCTGTCTTGTGTGGCTGACTATGTGGCTGTCTGGTGTGATTATGTGACTGGTGTGGCTATCTAATGTAGTTCTGAGGAGTGGCTGTCTTCTGGTTATCTGTCTGGTATGGCTGTCCGTTTGTGGCTATCTGGTGTGGTTGTGTGGTGTGACTGTGTGGTGTGGCTATGTGGGGTGTGGCTGTGTGGTGTGGCTGTGTGGTATGGCTGTGGTTGTTTGGTGTGGCTGTGGTGTGGTTGTGGGGTGTGGCTGTGATGTGGCTGTGTGGTGTGGCTGTGTGGTATGGTTGTGGTGTGGTTGTCTGGTGTGGCTGCGTGGTGTGACTGTGTGGTGTGGTTGTGTGGTGTGACTGTGTGGTGTGACTGTGTGGTGTGACTGTGTGGTGTGACTGTGTGGTGTGGCTGTGTGGTGTGACTGTGTGGTGTGACTGTGTGGTGTGACTGTGTGGTGTGACTGTGTGGTGTGGCTGTGTGGTGTGGCTGTGTGGTGTGGCTGTGTGGTGTGACTGTGTGGTGTGACTGTGTGGTGTGGCTGTGTGGTGTGACTGTGTGGTGTGGCTGTGTGGTGTGGCTGTGTGGTGTGGCTGTGTGGTGTGACTGTGTGGTGTGACTGTGTGGTGTGGCTGTGTGGTGTGGTGTGACTGTGTGGTGTGGCTGTGTGGTGTGACTGTGTGCTGTGGCTGTGTGGTGTGACTGTGTGATGTGGCTGTGGTGTGGCTGTGTGGTGTGGTGTGGCTGTGTGGTGTGGCTGTGTGGTGTGGCTGTGTGGTATAGCTGCGTGGTGTAGTTCTGAGGTGTGGCTGTGAGTTGTGGTGTGACTGTGTTGTGTCGCTGTGGGGTGTGACTGTGTCTGACACAACAGACCAGGTAATTTGACTTAATATAAGGCGCAGGTAGGAAAGGTAACTTGATAAAAACATTAATAGAAACAGACCGCCACTTCAACACACGTGACTGTACGGAGTGCGGGGAGGGTAGTCTACTTGGATTTTCGTTTGCGACGTTGTAAAAGCCTTATATTCGAGAGATTGATTTAGAAGCGGGACACATTCGAGTTCTTATTTCGTCGAGTATTATATCTTCGATGTTTTATTTTTAAAAATTTCTTATGTGAAGGTAAGAGTAATTATTAAATTACTGTTATACGCTATTGGTTTTTGTTTTAGTAAATTACGACTATTTCAAGTGCTAGTTTTAGTCGATTTAATAAAATGATAACTGCATGCCATTTTTACAAGCGTGAAACAATGCAATGTTAGAAAACGCATCTTTAGCTGTTATTTGGCGTTTTAGAAAAATGTTTTAATAAATTGTAATAGAAATTGATTAAAACACTTTATGTTGACAGAGTTAAGACAAGATTTGGGGAAAATATCGATGTTTTAGGAAAAAATCAACTGCTATTTTAGGGGGTTGTAGGGCGGAGAAGTGACATAATTTCAGGCGGGGGGGGGGGGGGGGAGTTCTGGCTTTTTGTGACGATGTGTGACGTAGGGGAGAAGGGGGAGGTAAAAATCCACCAAAAAACGTGACGCATTTATGGATGATCCCTTAGTGAAAACAAATATTAAATTCTGCCGAGAAGAAAAATTGAGGGAAGAAAATGTCCCAAAATTATAAACAGAGTATTAATACAATGATCGGGAATCATCCTAACGTTTTTGTGTTTACAATTCTTACATTTTTTGATGATGAATTTTTTTTCCAAACAGGATTGCTTTACAGTGAATTAAAAGAAAATGATTCAGGACTTTCTGTTTGCCTGCTTAATGGTGTATGTTGTTGGAACCTCCTATGCCTTCTACTGCCAAAGAGGTCAGTACGTGAATGGTTCCAACTGTGAGACATGCCCAGAAGAAACTTTCGCACCTTACGACAACCACAAAAATACTAGATGCTCACCGTGTTCAGCACCAAATATCTTTGAGCGTCAAACCGTCGTGAAAAAATGCACACCACACCAAGACACCATCTTAGGATGCAAACGAGGCTTTTTTAAACAAATCTTCAGCGCGGAAGAGGTGTATTGTAGCCGTTGTACAGACTGCTACAAGTTACGTCAAATTCAGGTTAAAAGTTGCACAGAAAACAGGGACACGATTTGTTGTCCAATGACCGGAATGTCTGTGACGTACATGCCTGATGGTACCAATAGGTGTGTCGTGAAATCGTCAGGGTTTGTCTGTCAGGAGGGGGAGTATCTAACCTATGAAGACGACAAGAAGCCAGTTTGCAAAGCTTGCCCTGAGGGGAGTTTCAACTCAGAAACTAATCACCAAAACATTAACTGCAAACCATGCACACCACCTATTCTATACGACCACGAGAGAATCATCAAAAACTGCAGTAAGACTTCTGACACAGTTATAGGTTGTCAGGAAAACTATTTCCGTATACCGGGAGATGACGGTTGGTGTGCGCAGTGCGGACAATGCGGCCAAAACGAGGCTGAACTACTGCCTTGTAGCAGCGACAGGGACAGAATTTGTTGCCGCCATCTTGGGGCATTTGTCAAGTATTATCCGGATGGCAGATATACATGTTAATTCTTGATTAAAGGTTCATTTCACGTGGACTTTTTGGAGTCGTCCATAAACAGTGTTTCTTCCAGACTTTTTTCTCCGAGGGGGGGGGGGGGGGGATGGGGGGGGCCGGTAGACTTTCTTCGGGGGGGGGGGGGGGCGGACACCGTTAAAAATATTTTCTATATAAATTATATAAATTTTATTTCGTTCGGGGGGGGGGGGGGGGGGAGGGCCCTCCCCCCCCCCCCCCCCCCTCCCCGAAGAGAAAGAGATGCCCGGAAGAAACTCTGTCCATAAATGACGTCACATTCGTAGGGGGGAGGGGGTCTGTAATTTTGTGACGGTGTGTGATGAGGGGGAGGGAGGGGGTTCAGATATGGCGATGTCACACTTTTGCATTACAAAAAAGCAATGTTAGAAAACGAATTTTAGACGTTATTTTGCGTTTTAGAAAACTGTTTTAATAAATTGTAATAGGAATTGATTAAAATACTCTATTTTGACAGAGTTCAGACAAGATTTTGGAAAAATATCGATGTTTAAAAAAAAACTCAACAGCAATTTTGAGGGGGGGGGTTGTAGGCTGAGGTGTGACGTCATTTTAGGGGGGGGGGGGTCTGGCTTTTTGTGACGACGTGTGACGGAGGGGAGGGGGAGGTAAAAATCGTCAAAAAAGCGTGACGTCATTTATGGATGACCCCTTTACAATACTAGATTGTTGTCTTAGCTTTGTTAAGATGTATTACTTATATTACCGAATCTCATAATTTAGTGATTGATTTTTCAGCTTACAATAGGTAGTCCAAACTGAAATTAACTATTGATTGCAGACTTCTGGAGTGAGTATGTCATGAAAGAACTTTTAATTGTAAGGTCTATGCCACAAATTTTATAAAAATATCTCAATAAATAAAAAAGTTATGCGATTTTTAAAAAAAGCAAAATTTGGTAAAAAACTGATTTTCAAAAAGTGCCATTTTTGAGAACCCATATTTTTTAAACTAAATAACATAGAAGTGTGGAAATTGGTAAAGTTGCTGCAAAGTTTGTAATATATATGCCCAATTTTTTTCAGTCATCTAAAATGAGTCTTTCTAAGGTAAAAAAATAATTGAAAATGACAAAAATGCGTTTTGGTCACTTTTATTTTCATAAAAAAAAAAAAAAATCAATTTTTTTTTTTTTTGCTTTGGAATAACTCTAAAATTATTGTGTTGGTAACATCGACGTGGAAAAATGTGTTAATTATTTTCAAAAATCACATGAGTTAAAATATTATTTTAAAAAATACCACAGTTATCTAGTGCAGGAGAAACAGAATCAAAATTTAGTAGAGTAAATGTAATGTAATGTAGTTTAATAAAGACGTGATGCCTACAAGTGATGCAGCAGTTGATGCCACATGCTTTGGTTTCTTTTCAAACCTGATAACTGCTTTGGGGGAACAGTTTTGGGGGAACATCTTTGTACGTCTTGTTTCCCTCAACCTTGATCTTGTGGAGCATCAAGAGTAAGTAATATGTTTTGGGAATTGTAGGGGGGAGGGGGGAGTGGGGTCTTGGCCTTCTTCCCTTCCCTTGTAAGGAAAGTTCTGGATAGGCCACCGTAAATGTCTCCAGCTATGTAACGAACAATTGATTTAGTGATTAATAAAATATAATTAAATTTACTACTAGCCTATTGTGTAGGCCTACTATTTGTCCTATGACTATAACTGGAAACATATGAAAAAGCCTGAAAACACCTTTTTGTTAAAAGTAATTTATATTTTTTATATATATTTTTAAGAGTAATTCTACTGAATGAAATTTGAAATAATCGTTGCTTGTCCCACAATGGTTGAGATATCCAATGATGAAGATGCCATACTGTGGTTCTCAACATCCTATAGGACAACTTAACTGTCCTTCATTGTTACTATTATATGCATATAAAATAAATAAATAATGAGAAATACTACTAGTACTACTTACACTTACAACTAATATAACATTTAAAACTAAGTCACAACATGTACAATCTTAATAAATTGCACAACCATCTAAAAATTGATCTGGTACATTTTATTAAGGAGACTGGCGCAGACCATTTCACATTATTCAGCAGGGGAATCAGAATCAGAGTGCACAACAGAAAATAAAAAAATTAATCACATTAGTCCTTAAAATTTAGTGTCTTTTGTTTTAAATAAATCGATAAAAATGTATAGTTATTATAATTATACATTTCTTTTGTGTTTCATTAATATTTTATAAGTATTTAACCTTCGTTCCCTGTAAATAATTGAGTTCGTCCACATAGTAACCAAGATAGTCTGGTGGCCATTTTGAATTTGTCGATTCATAATTTTGACGTGATAGTCCAGATAAACTGTAGTAATACGACCCTATCATTGATCCCAGTCAATAGATTTTAAAGAATTAGTAAACACTAGCATCTAATAGTTAAGTGCATCCATATTTTAAGTCCCTAGAATGTCCTGAATTAAATAGCTTCACGTCTAAACACACGCTGTGTACAAGCGTAGTTCACACGCTAAAACCGTGGACTTGAAGCGTTCAAATTTACATTAATAACGTGTACTAATTAAACCAAACTGACATTTAAACTTAAAATTCATTTATTAAAATGGAAATGAAACTTTAAAAATGATACTTACAACTTGTTTGAAGGCTCTAGCAAGGGTAAAATCCGTTTAGCATCATCGGTCGTCAACCTTTAAAACCGTTCGGCGAGCAACTTACTCGGGGCTGAAAGTCGACTCGAGGGTTATATGTTTATTGGGGGTACGGCTTCGCGACCGTAAATCAGAAATACTTGAATTTACAACACAAAGTAGTTATAAAACTGAACTTTACATCGGTGTAAAAATTGAAACAGAATTAGTTTGTTTCCGTGTATATATCGTCATTTAAAGTTTAAAATCTGTATTTTTTAAATGAAATAAACAAGTTATTTTTTCAATTTATACATCAAATGACAGCCTAGAATTCGATCTTTAAAATGACATTAAGATTATGCTTCTACGATGCTTCGTCGCGAAGCCGCGACCAAATAAAACAGTGTGGGGTCGATCGGTACACGCAAAACGGTGAAATTTGTTGACGTAACTGATACTTTTCAAACAAATATAAAACACATTCAGACATGTGTTACAGATATAAAAATACCAGATTACGACAGATAAAGACTTAAACTTTATTGACATATAATTTTTATTCTTATAGGACAACTAGAAGTAGTGAAATTTTTTTTTTGAAAACCGCAAAAACTGACCCTAAAACGCACTTTTTCGCCAGTTTGGACTACCTACTTACAATATCTAGATGTTTTAAAGTTTATCCTAAACTAGTAAAATCTTAAGTGTTTTTTAAAACTTAAATTATTACGGCTTTAATGTGTTTTATTTATCTCTCTTTAGCTATTTAGAGTGTTCTTTATGAGTTTGTGTTATGTCTTTTGATTATCTTCTATTCTTGGATCAAATACCACTGCAACCCTTGCGCTTGGCGGAAACTTATATCAGGGGTAGGGAGAGAGAAACCCCCACAATTAAACAACCGCTGCCTTGTTGTTTGTTTTTGGACGGACAAAGGCTATGTAAGCAAAGCCAAAAAGCAGGCTGAAATCGGAGTGAATGTGGCGCAACAGGTTGGATGAAAATCCCGTCCAACGTAGCAAATTAATAACGAGGAAGAAGAGAGAATTGAAGGAAACGAAATTCATCAAAATCTAAGCTTAGTTTATTTTTTTTCTCTCTTCGGTTTGTTTTATTTTAGGGATCACTAAAGTTTTTTTAAAATGCCCGCTGATGAGATCTCGAGACGTGACCCAGGTACACGACTGCGACTAAGGGCCAGTGTTTCTTTCAGACATTTCCGAGGAAGGGGCATTTGAGACATGGTGCTGATATGTATCTAGAGCTCAAGGGATCTAATGCTTCAACGAAGGTGAGATGTAACTAGAGCTCAAGGGATCTAATTCTTCAACTAGAGCTCAAGTGATCTAATACTTCAACTAGAGCTCAGGTGATCTCCAAGTACTCTCTCTTCCCCCCCCCCCCCCCCCCAACTCCGGAGAGAAAAAAGTATGGAAGAAACACTGGGGCGGAATCTGGTTAAAGTATATTTTCTGTCCATTATATTTATTTCGTCCTGGGGGGGGGGGGGGGGGGAGGTGGACGTGTTCCGGAGATTAGGGACCCGAAGAGATGCCTGAATGAAACTGCTAACGTCCCATGCTGATGTTCAGACGTCATCATGGCTTCGACTTGCACGTGCGGTAGTGATGAGTCTCTGCGCATGAGCAGGGCCCATATTTGTAGTGTTCCTCATGAGCCCTCGTGTCGAGCAGGTTATTGGACGGTGGGGCACGAGTTTACCCAGCGTTTATTGGGGGGGGGGGGGGGGATAAGAATGGTGTGAACTAACTGACGGAAGCGACCGATACAAACAAGCTAATATTCTCATACGCCAGTTAGTCGGAGTTTGCCGTGTTGAGGCTTGCTTGGCTAATGGGAGACGACCCATGAGTCGATATCCAAACAGAGAGTCTTTCTCATAACGAGGCTAGTTGGGCTATTTTTAGAATAAGCAGTAGTTCTTGCTGTTACATTCATTTGATTGCTTACACGGTATATTTACTTTTCTGTTATCGACTCTGGTAGTTCAAAAACAACATAAAAAAAAGAAAGACATTTAAAAAATAACGACGATCCGAAAAATAATTTTCAACTGTGAAAGTTTTATTTATGCTAATTTCCTCCAAGAAACACTGAAGATGGTGCTAATTTATGAAACTCCCAAAATCTCTTAAATTAAAAGAGAAACAAAAATTGTGTTCGATGACAAAAAGAAAAACCCACCTGATTACATAATGAATCTGCTTGTTTGTAATAAAAAAATACACTGAATGTACTGTTATTCTGTGTACATAGATGTTTGTCAGTCTCTCACTACCTGGACATGAAAAATGCATGTGACACACAAATAGATAAGGTGATGCACATAACAGGGTGAGGGTCAGTGTCACAACATGGTAATGTGATACACAACAGGGTCATGTGACACACACGGTAATGTGACACTTGCCATGGTCAAGTGACACATGACATGTCATGTGACAAACAACATATTATATGTCAGACAACACTGTCATCTGACACTCCTAAAAAGACCATTGCACAACATCAACCCAACATTTATCAGACAACAATATTATTAAGATTGAAAAACAAAATCTTTCTGATCATTTAAAAAATGCATTATTATCTAAACTCATTACATACCAGTAGAGTGCATCTGTTTCAAAGACCTCTGCATATAAAGGGATAGTGTAGTCAGCACAATGTCCAGCCACCTTTATTTCCCTAAACTGACTTAGGCACCCATCAGATCTGGGTGGATTCATGGACATTCTACTGACATGAAACCGGATTCGAACTCGAGACTTCCGGGTTAGTAGTCTAGCTCTCTACCACTAGGCTACATCATTCCATATTACATAATATTCATAAGTATAAATAAGTTTAATCATGATTGTCTATAACTGTAGGAAGCCCTGGACTAGAAAGATTTAACCTTTGACCTTTCTGAAGTCATTATAGTATAGGCACACATTTATCATCTTAAGACAACCCCACATTGTTTGGTGTAAAGAACAATCTGTAAACGACTGACTTGTTAGCTCTAGTTAAAAACAACATTGTATATCTACATGAAAATAGCAACATGTAACATAGGCCTATTTTACTATGAAATGAACAAGTGAGTATTAGCCTTCAAATAACAGGCATACAAACTCATTTTAAAACAAGAGTAAGCAAAAACATGTAATTATTTTTAAAAAAATAATAAAAAAAATAAAATGTATGTAATGTAAAAATGGAAGTTATAAATAGATTTTAAAGGAATTCTTTACGTGGTGCATCACATGGGCTTGGTTGCCATAGCAACACAATAATACTGTAGAATTAGATGCCTCTGTTCAACATAAGTTTAAAAATGTACAATCCAACAATAATAATAATAATAAAATATTAACCAATTCAACAATTGCAGGGTCTAAATAAAAATGAGTAGAATTTTTTCAACCGGTGTGTAAGTAGTTATAGTTTACTTATTAGGCAAAATAATAATTTAATGATTAAGAATATAGGTGAGGGAGATATGAAAGTAATACAGTAATTTTAAATTTCAAATTTTAAAAACAATACAAAAATATAAATTTTTAATATCAGCTGAATGAAGCAAAATATCTTTATGGCACTGACAGAAAAAAATTATGCAAAAATAATTATAAAATTGATAAACCAAAATAAATAGTTGTGACCAAATAAAGCAAGACACTTTCTTTTACTTTATCAAGTTTATAAAATGAAAATAAACATAATTATAGTTGAAAAAGATTTGTTACACTCAATAAAGAAAAAAGCAATTAAGTAATCTCCAATAAAAAAAAATCTTCTAAAAATAATTTTTGGAAATTCCCACTTCAAAATAGGAAACTTCCAGTACAAAAGGAAAATCCCATTCATAAGGAAAAGTTACATCATAGGAAACCATATCAGATCTGGCCTTTGTACAATTTTTATTACTTAGTCTTGAAAAAAAGTAAAAAAAAACAAAACAAACAAAACAAAAACTTGGGATGGAATTTTAAACTTTAAAACTAATTTAAAGTAAGAAACTTAATTGTGATTTGGAGGGTTACATTATACATTTTTTAAAATAAAAATTCATAAAAACCTCTACATTTGTGTACAACTTGTGACCAGAAGGATGATGACAAAATGAAGGCTGATTATTATAATACTGGCTGTCAGATCTCTTGGTAAAGTTGGTGATGATGTACAATTAAGAACATGGGACAGTTGATGAATATTATATTTGTAACTTGCTGATTATTTAAAATGGATAAATAAAATATATCTGTTATGAGGGCTTTAGGTTTAAAATATATGAATACATTTGATAAATATACTTTCAACATGGCACTTGTAAGCAAAAATACTTACATAATTATTATTTGACATTTCTTAATCAATGTTCTAAGTACTAGAATCTGTTAAGTAAGTGAGAGACTTAAATCAATGTAAGTTAAATGTAGCCACAAATGAAAACTGTTTTGGGTTGTAGACTGTTGAAACAATATCTAGAGTAGATGCCTAAAGGAATGATGACTCTAGCACATAAGGGCATATTTGGGGCATTCAGAGGTCATCAAGGGTCAGGAAGATCTTCATTGAGGGCATTATGGGACATGGAGGGCATCAACTGGCATGCACAGCATAGTGTAGTGCAAAACGATTATGTACGGGTATTAAATGGTGCATGTATTATGGGGGCATGTAGGGCATAGGGATCAGAAGGCATGAAGCATTGATGGCATAGAGGGCACCATGAGGCATCAATGGCATCAAGAGGCATAGGGGGCCACTTGTGACAAGGAGGGCATCATGGGGAATGAAAAGGTATCAAGACACAAACAGGGCATGATGGGGCATGAAAGGAATCAGGCAGCACTGCAGGGCATGAAGGGCACTAAGGGGCACAGAGCCCAGCATCAACTTCACTGATGTCAGAGTTTGGGCTCCAGATGGCAACTTTACCATCTTTAGATCCTGCACCTGGAGATACAAAGGTCAAAGGTCACACCTGGTTATAGTGTAGTTATAAGAAGGGAGGGGGGGGGGGGTAGGGTGTTTAAATAGAACAAATAAGAATAGTTCTGGTTATCTTGTTAAAACAGTGTTATAGTGCTTTTGGAATACAGTTAGAGCTGAAAGAGCTCAAGTGATCTAATGCTTCAACCTTCATGAGATGTAACAAGAGCTCAAGTGATCTAATGCAGGGGTTCCCAACCTTTTTATACTCTAGAGCACATTCTAAAATATCGGTAGGGTGGCGGGCACCACCTATTTTAAATCGACAAACTCCTTCCAGAGGCGTAGCGACCCTTCCCGTCACTCGGGGACAAAACTTTCGATTTGCACTCTCCCCCCTCAAATTTTCGATTTGAACCCACCTCCCCCCCTCAAACTTTCGATTTCCATCCCCTTCAACCTTTCAATAATGTTTATGAAAAAAATTATGTCTGTCGAATAATGAGAGGCGAGCACATACGAATCGTTCGGCAGGCGCCATGGCGCCCACGGGCACGGGAACCCCTGATCTAATGCTTCAACATAGATTGAGATGTAACTAGAGCTCAAGTGATCTAACACATCAACCAAAATGAAATGTAAATAGAGCTCAAGTGATCTAACATGTCAACCAAAATGAGATGTAAATAGAGCTCAAGTGATCTAACACATCAGTGCTCTAATGACACAATGTGGAGTCACTTGTATGTGTTATCCACAAAGTCTGAACAATATGACTAGTGGACAATTGTGACCTTTGAGGACAGAGGAAATAGGGCCTATGTGGACAAACACAAACCATTGAACCTCCATAAAAAATGTATGGGTCTATTTGTATACTATATATTTGACATGTGTTAGATATAACTAGAGCCAAAGGGATCTAACGGTACTTACCAGACATAATGTATCGAGACTCGGCTGCACAAAGTGATCTAATGGCATCCTCGTGGGCCTTGATGGTCTTCCATTGCTGCTTGCTGGAGGAGTGGTAGATGTAGATGGTGCCATCTTTAGTGGCTACCCACACCTGAGGGGGGGGGGGGGGAAGCAATAAAAATTTGATGAGTGGTAGATATAGATGGTGCCATATTTAGTGGCTACCCACACCTGAGGGGGGGGGAGAAAAATAGGATGAGTGGTAGATGTAGATGGTGCCATCTTTAGTGGCTACCCACACCTGGAGTTGGGGGGACAACAAAGTAGGATGAGTGGTAGATGTAGATGGTGCCATCTTTAGTGGCTACCCACACCTGAGGGGGGGAGTAGAGTGGTAGATGTAGATGGTGCCATCTTTAGTGGCTACCCACACCTGGAGTTGGGGGGACAACAAAGTAGGATGAGTGGTAGATGTAGATGGTGCCATCTTTAGTGGCTACCCACACCTGGAGTTGGGGGGACAACAAAGTAGGATGAGTGGTAGATGTAGATGGTGCCATCTTTAGTGGCTACCCACACCTGAGGGGGGGAGTAGAGTGGTAGATGTAGATGGTGCCATCTTTAGTGGCTACCCACACCTGAGGGGGGGTCATAAAATAGAATGTGAGGTAGATGCAGATGGTGCCATCTTTAGTGGCTACCCACACCTGAGGGGGGGGGGGAGCAATAAAAATTTGATGAGTGGTAGATGTAGATGGTGCCATCTTTAGTGGCTACCCACACCTGAGGGGGGGGGGGGGGAGTAATAAAAATTTGATGAGTGGTAGATGTAGATGGTGCCATCTTTAGTGGCTACCCACACCTGAGGGGGGGGGGGGAGCAATAAAAATTTGATGAGTGGTAGATGTAGATGGTGCCATCTTTAGTGGCTACCCACACCTGAGGGGGGGGGGAGCAATAAAAATTTGATGAGTGGTAGATGTAGATGGTGCCATCTTTAGTGGCTACCCACACCTGAGGGGGGGGGGGGAGCAATAAAAATTTGATGAGTGGTAGATGTAGATGGTGCCATCTTTAGTGGCTACCCACACCTGAGGGGGGGGGAGCAATAAAAATTTGATGAGTGGTAGATGTAGATGGTGCCATCTTTAGTGGCTACCCACACCTGAGGGGGGGGGAGCAATAAAAATAGGATGAGTGGTAGATGTAGATGGTGCCATCTTTAGTGGCTACCCACACCTGAGGGGGGGGGGAGCAATAAAAATTTGATGAGTGGTAGATATAGATGGTGCCATATTTAGTGGCTACCCACACCTGAGGGGGGGGGAGAAAAATAGGATGAGTGGTAGATGTAGATGGTGCCATCTTTAGTGGCTACCCACACCTGGAGTTGGGGGGACAACAAAGTAGGATGAGTGGTAGATGTAGATGGTGCCATCTTTAGTGGCTACCCACACCTGAGGGGGGGGGAGCAATAAAAATTTGATGAGTGGTAGATATAGATGGTGCCATATTTAGTGGCTACCCACACCTGAGGGGGGGGAGAAAAATAGGATGAGTGGTAGATGTAGATGGTGCCATCTTTAGTGGCTACCCACACCTGGAGTTGGGGGGACAACAAAGTAGGATGAGTGGTAGATGTAGATGGTGCCATCTTTAGTGGCTACCCACACCTGAGGGGGGGAGTAGAGTGGTAGATGTAGATGGTGCCATCTTTAGTGGCTACCCACACCTGAGGGGGGGGGGGGAGAATAGGATGAGTGGTAGATGTAGATGGTGCCATCTTTAGTGGCTACCCACACCTGAGGGGGGGGGGGGAGAATAGGATGAGTGGTAGATGTAGATGGTGCCATCTTTAGTGGCTACCCACACCTGGAGTTGGGGGGACAACAAAGTAGGATGAGTGGTAGATGTAGATGGTGCCATCTTTAGTGGCTACCCACACCTGAGGGGGGGGGGGGGAGAATAGGATGAGTGGTAGATGTAGATGGTGCCATCTTTAGTGGCTACCCACACCTGAGGGGGGGGGGGAGTTATAAAATGGGGAATATGGTAGATGTAGAAAAGGCCATACTTAGAGACCACCCACATCTGAGAGGGGGGGGGGGGGAATTTGAAATAAACTGGGTGATTGAGTCTCAAAACTGGGTCAAGTGAATGATTTAACCCACTACTCTGGGAGTGTTGAAAAAACATGCAACCATCTGGGTCATTTATTTTTTCAAGTAGATATTGGTAAACAATTTCTTGAACACAATTGAACCTGTCAAACATAGATTTGGATTTCTCCACATTAGCTTAAAAATCTAAACTAAATGGAAATAACAAACTAAAAGGAAACAACAATGAAAAAAAAAAAGAAACAAACTAAATGGAAACAACAAACTAAATGGAAACAACAAACTTAATGCAAATAACTAACTAAATAGAAACAACAAAATGAACCCACCTTTTCCCCAAAGAGCAGGATACAGCTGATGCCTCGACACTCTGGTTTGAGAACTTGCTTCATCTTCGTGGTCTTCTCATCCCAGATGACCACTTGACCAGTGCGTCTACAGCCCGCCCAGATCTGATCAACATAAAACATTACACTGCTTGTGGTGCTTACATACAGATATAACTACAACATATTGCTTCAAGCTGAACATTTCTTTATTCTTAATATTCAGTGTAGGAAGGGATTCCCTCCAACACAATTAAGTACTATATGTCAACTTGTTATGTGCCTTATAGGCTGTTGACTCTGATTTCAGCCTGCTTTTTTGTTTGGATTTTCTACAATCAAATTTACAATTTTTTTGATTTTTTCAGTAGATTAGAAAATAGGTGAAATTAAAGTAAAATGGCATCACATATCAAAAGGATTCTGAACTTAGTAATAAATGTCCGTTCAATCAAATTATAAACAACTTGTATACCTTCCAAATGAATTATTCATCCTATTTATCTAATGTGAATACAATGGGTAGTTTATTTGCTAATAAATCCAACCCAATTTAAAATGATGATTTTAACATAGATGTACCAAGACAACAATACTATTATATACCTCATCGTTAAATATCTCAAAACAGTCTAGCTCTTGCAGCTTGCCAGTTTCAGGCTCGGCATAAGAAAACACCTGTAGTTGTGTCCCTTGGGTGTCAAGGGCAATAATCTTCTGCCAAGTCCCTGATGATATAAACAAAATCTGTAACCAGGATAATTAATGGGGTAATTTATAAACATGAACACTGTCTTAAGCAGAGGCAAAATTAACTTCAAAAATGCGTTTTGTGTAAAACACTTAATTTAATTGGACTACTGGGATCTGTACTGATACAACAGCACTAGAATATACAGAGCAGATCTTGCAGTATTTTCCTGTTATGATGGACATAGCTACCTGATTTCCTGTGTAATGCCAAGAACACAGCTCTAGAAAAGGGCTTAACTCACCACACCACAGCTTATTAATGCTACCTGATTTTCTGTTTAATGCCAAGAACACAGCTCTAGAAAAGGGCCGTAACTCACCACACCACAGCTTATCAATGCCACCTGATTTTCTGTGTAATGCCAAGAACGAAGCTCTAGAAAAGGGCCGTAACTCACCACACCACAGCTTATTAATGCTACCTGATTTTCTGTGTAATGCCAAGAACACAGCTCTAGAAAAGGGCCGTAACTCACCACACCACAGCTTATCAATGCCACCTGATTTTCTGTGTAATGCCAAGAACACAGCTCTAGAAAAGGGCCGTAACTCACCACACCACAGCTTATTAATGCTACCTGATTTTCTGTGTAATGCCAAGAACGAAGCTCTAGAAAAGGGCCGTAACTCACCACACCACAGCTTATCAATGCCACCTGATTTTCTGTGTAATGCCAAGAACACAGCTCTAGAAAAGGGCCGTAACTCACCACACCACAGCTTATCATCGTACAGCCTGATGAACCTCAGGCTCTTGCTCTCTGTGACCCGCATCTGTATCAGCTTCCTCAGGGTCTGAACCTCCCATTTGATGATGGTTCCATCCACACTGGAACTGTAGACATTTCTGGCAGAAATCAAAATGCAAAGTCACTCTATTTGACAAAGTCTACACTTATATGCTAAGCAGTGAGTGCATAACAATAATACAATAGCTTAAAAAGTAGTTTAGCAGACAGTAGTCATAAACATACTAACTGGAAAGTGGTAAAGATGTTTAGTAGTCATAAAACTACTAGAAGGACAGTGGCCATAAAACTACTAGAAGGACAGTGGTCATAAACTTACTAACTGTAAAGTGGCCTTTAAGCTATTAGCTGTGTAATAGTCATAAACCAACTAGATGGCCAGTAGCCATAAAACTACTAGCTAGACTGTAGCCATAAAACTATCAGATAGACATTAGCCATATAACTAGACTGTGCTAATAAAATTAATAGCTGGAAATTACAACTTAACCCAACTGATGACCTATCAACAACTGGCTAAATACTGGTGAAACAGCTAATGGCTCTACTATGTCTTTCATCCAATGGTAGGACAATTATTAGCTGTGGCCTTATAATCAGTGGACTAAGCAGGCACCATTACCTTTTCTTCTTCTTCTTTCATAATTATATATTGGTGGAATTTCCTCAGACAAAATTAAGTTATGAGACAAATAGAATGTCGACTTCAACATGCCTTTCTTTCTGGATTACATTCCATAACTTTTATACACTCAAGAACAAAACAACAGTTCATTTTGGAATTTACTCTCCGAGATGGGTTGCTGTCCAGAGATAACAAACCTCAACTACAGGCGTACAAACTGGCAATTATTTACAGGTTTGAACTCTGGACTTTTAGAGAACAGCCATCATCTCTCCAGCCTGACCTGCCCCCCCCCCCCCGGAGACTATTAAAATGACATGCAACCAACAATAAACACTTGGTGTGATGTGAGTGTCACACAAATGTTGAGTACCTTTTATCAGCACTGAGCACCATGTCAGAAACTAAGTGTGATGTGAGTGTCACACAAATGTTGAGTACCTTTTATCAGCACTGAGCACCATGTCAGAAACTAAGTGTGATGTGAGTGTCACACAAATGTTGAGTACCTTTTATCAGCACTGAGCACCATGTCAGAAACTAAGTGTGATGTGAGTGTCAACCAAATGTTGAGTACCTTTTATCAGCACTGAGCACCATGTCAGAAACTAAGTGTGATGTGAGTGTCACACAAATGTTGAGTACCTTTTATCAGCACTGAGCACCATGTCAGAAACTAAGTGTGATGTGAGTGTCCCACAAATGTTGAGTACCTTTTATCAGCACTGAGCACCATGTCAGAAACTAAGTGTGATGTGAGTGTCACACAAATGTTGAGTACCTTTTATCAGCACTGAGCACCATGTCAGAAACTAAGTGTGATGTTAGTGTCACACAAATGTTGAGTACCTTTTATCAGCACTGAGCACCATGTCAGAAACCAAGTGTGATGTGAGTGTCAACCAAATGTTGAGTACCTTTTATCAGCACTGAGCACCCTGTCAGAAACTAAGTGTGATGTGTCACACAAATGTTGAGTACCTTTTATCAGCACTGAGCACCATGTCATAAACTAAGTGTGATGTGAGTGTCACACAAATGTTGAGTACCTTTTATCAGCACTGAGCACCATGTCACAAACTAAGTGTGATGTGAGTGTCACACAAATGTGGAGTACCTTTTATCAGCACTGAGCACCATGTCAGAAACTAAGTCACTGTGCTCCGTCAGGGTTTTGTTGCTCCTGATGGTCTCTGTGTCAATGATGTAGATGCCATACGACCCCACCCACACTGTGAGGTCACCCACCGCCAACATGGCAGACTAATAAAAAATTAATTATATCATTTGTTTAATTTTTCATACTTAAAATAAAATGTTCCAAATTCATTAAACATTTTAATTTCGTAAGTAGTATATAGTAGTTTTAAAAATAAAACAGATCCAATTTAAAAATGCTTCTTTGTTTCGTTCTAATTTGTAATGTAGGAAGGGATTTTTTTCTCAAACACAATTAAGTATATGTGTCAACTTTTTATACACCATACAGGTCGTTGACTATAATTTCAGCCAACTTTTTTTTGGAATGGCTTCCATAGCATTTGTCCAAACCAGAGCAGTATGTGAGGTTGTTTGATTTTGGAGTTGTCTCTCCTAGGTAAGAAGCTGGTCCCAACCATCAAGCCATCAAGGTTTGAATTAGGAGGTTTTTCATTAAATAATCCTGAGCTTTAACAACCTTTACCAACCTGACCACACCAACCCCTTTATAGACATAATGTAAGACATCAATATAACATTAAAAAAAAAATCATTATGCATATACTATACTTTATTGACTAAGCAAGGAACTGACCACAGTATTTTTGGCCTGAACAAAGCTCCTCTCTAGTGACCAGTTAGTTGCATCAAAAACTCGGACCTTCCCGTCCCCCATCCCACACCACAGTCGAGGAGGCACGTTGTTCTGTGAGTCTGAACTCTGACCTGTGCATAAATTTAAGTCTGTCAAACTTCTATTTTAAAAGAACATGTCCTTAAAATTAATCGATTAATGATTTATCGCACAAAAAATGTTATGTGTGGTGAATCATTTCCCTTAAACAGATTAGTAATGTACAAACCAAAAGTTTTCATACTGTCATCACTGTACCTTGTGATAGAAATTACAAAAATTCTGTTTGATTCAAGACACCCTCAACCCATAACATTTTTTAATAAAATGCTTACAGCTGTTACTATAAAAGTAACCCTTGAGGGCTGAAACTTTCAGTGATTTAAAAACTCAGAACAGCAAAAAATAAAAACATCTCAAAATGTAGCACTTACTTACAAGTGTACAAACTGTAGCACTTACTTACAGGTGTACAAACTGTAGCACTTACTTACAGGTGTACAAACTGTAGCACTTACTTACAGGTGTACAAACTATAGCACATACAGGTGTACAAACTGAAGCACTTACAGGTGTACAAACTGAAGCACTTACTTACAGGTGTACAATTTGTAGCACTTACAGGTGTACAAACTATAGCACATACAGGTGTACAAACTGAAGCACTTACAGGTGTACAAACTGAAGCACTTACTTACAGGTGTAAAAACTGTAGCACTAACAGGTGTACAACTGTAGCACAGTTATACAGGTGTACCAACAGTAACACTTACATCCTGCTGTGTAGAGCAGCACCTCTACAGTCTTTCTCTCCCTCTGGCCAGCGTTGGGGTCCACCCTGTGCTGCAGGGCCGTGATGGTGTCGCGTGGCAGGTTGTGACGGCCTTCAGACATGTACGCTGTGAAGTAGCAGAGGGCCTCGGCCGCGCGGTTGATGTGGCTGTGGTGTGTGGTGCGCTCATCGTGGCCACTGTGTACACAATGTTATTTATAGAGAAAAATGGTTAACATAATGTAACTGTGTACACAATGTTATTAATAGGGAAAAAAATGGTAAACATAATGTAACTGTATACACAATAATGATTTATAGTTGGTAAACTTTTTAAAAAAAATAAAGCAATTTAAAATATTTTAATGGGAGTTATTATATAGCAAGTTTGAATTGTTAATTCATTAATTTAAATACATCGAAAAATAACTTTTTAAAATATGTAACAAAACAATCAAAATAGAAGGTGCTTTATACTTGGGCCTTCACCATTATAAACAACAGTAAATTAAAAACAAAAGAATTGTAATGTAAATGTAAGTATTTTTTTTAAAACATTATATTTTAAAATTTGGATTTCATCAACTGTTAGGGGTCATCCATTTATGAAGTCCACAATTTTTTTTTATTTTGGACCCCCCCCCTCCCCCAAACTCCAAAAAAGTCAGTTTTCTCAGACCCCCCCCCCTCCCCCGTCCACAAAAATCCAAAAAAGTCAGTTTTCTCAGACCCCCCCCCCCCCCCCCCCCCGCGTGTGGACATCATAAATGGATGACCACTTAAAGTTTTGTTTAATTACTTTAATGGCAACTGCATTGCCATATTTAATAAATTTTAAAAATATGAATAGTGAGTAGGCTTTAACAGCCGAGACTATAAGCTTAAAAGAAGAAGCCTATGCAATCTTATTTAATTCCCATATCTAATCAAGATCTAATCCCCAGAAAAGTGCCAGCAACCTTTTGATGACAGCATCAACCAGCAACACATTCTGGATGGCCTGGCTGATGGCGGTGTAGTCTTTTGTTGCCTCGGCCACAATTTTACCGGCCCTCATCTCATCAATCATGGCCGCCCAGCAGTTTCTTTCTTCTTTCAGCCAGGCTGTAAACTTTACTTTGTTTTCTGTAAGGTGAAGTGTAAACTTTACTTTGTTTTTTTTTTAAGGTTAAATGTAAACTTTACTTTGTTTTCTGTAAGGTTAAATGTAAACTTTACTTTGTTTTCTGTAAAGTGAAATGTAAACTTTACTTTGTTTTCTGTAAAGTGAAATGTAAACTTTACTTTGTTTTCTGTAAAGTGAAATGTAAACTTTACTTTGTTTTCTGTAAGGTGAAGTGTAAACTTTACTTTGTTTTCTGTAAGGTGAAATGTAAACTTTACTTTGTTTTCTGTAAAGTGAAATGTAAACTTTACTTTGTTTTCTGTAAGGTGAAGTGTAAACTTTACTTTGTTTTCTGTAAGGTGAAATGTAAACTTTACTTTGTTTTCTGTAAAGTGAAATGTAAACTTTACTTTGTTTTCTGTAAAGTGAAATGTAAACTTTACTTTGTTTTCTGTAAGGTGACCCGTGAATTTTATTTTCTGTAATGTAAACTTTACTTTGTTTTAAAGTTAATGTCAAATGTAAACTTTACTTTGTTTCCTGTAAGGTTTAATGTAAATGACACTTTGTTTCTTTAATGGTAAATGTAAACTATATTTTCTGTAATGTATATGTAAACTTTACTTTGTTAAAACTTTAATAATGTTAAATGTAACTTATGTTTAACCTTATCCCACCTGTGTCTGCCACAACCCACGTATGTGTTACCTAAAACCCACCTGTGTCTATTCCTAAAACCTACCTGTGTCTTACCACAACCCACCTATGTGTTACCTTAAACCCACCTGTGTCTATTATAACCAGAACGTCCACTGCCATTAGGAAAGAATGGTTCTGTAACTTCTCCAGTTTAGTGATGTTCCTCAGCTTGACCACCTCCCTATACCTGTTACTCACATCCTTGATAAAAAACAACCTAAAAAAAAAACATATTGGACAATTATAACTAATCTTGTTGACTTCAAAAAAGAGGAAACACTTACAATAAAGATCATATATTATCAGCATAGCATACCTTTAATCAGTCAGTACAATGCGGCCTAGCTTACCATTTATCAGTTGGCCAAGCTTACCTTTTATCAGTCAGTACAATGTGGCCAGCTTACCTTTTATCAGTCAGTACAATGTGACCAGCTTACCTTTTATCAGTCAGTACAATGTGACCAGCTTACCTTTTATCAGTCAGTACAATGTGACCAGCTTACCTTTTATCAGTCAGTACAATATCACAAGCTTACCTTTTATCAGTGAGTACAATGTGACCAGCTTACCTTTTATCAGTCAGTACAATATCACAAGCTTACCTTTTATCAGTGAGTACAATGTGACCAGCTTACCTTTTATCAGTCAGTACAATATCACAAGCTTACCTTTTATCAGTCAGTACAATGTGACCAGCTTACCTTTTATCAGTCAGTACAATGTGACCAGCTTACCTTTTATCAGTCAGTACAATATCACAAGCTTACCTTTTATCAGTGAGTACAATGTGACCAGCTTACCTTTTATCAGTCAGTACAATATCGCAAGCTTACCTTTTATCAGTCAGTACAATTTGACCAGCTTACCTTTTATCAGTGAGTACAATGCGGCCCATGCCAAAGTCTGTCTTAATGAGGTTGGACACCCTGAGAACAGTTTCGTTGGCCTGTAGACATTCATCAGGCAGGGACAGGGACTCACACTGGACCTGGTTCTCTTCATAAGACAAACGCAGCACCTCAAAGGTGTACTTTTCTACATCTGGAGATCAACAAACTTTAATTTTAATTTACTTAGACAAACCAGCTTTTTTAAAAACTCTTGATCTAAGAGAGTTCTTCTACTAAAGATCATGTATAATAAACGTAGCACCTCAAATGTGTACTTTTCTACATCTGGAGATTAACAAACCTCAAATTTAATTTGCTTAGACAAACTAGTTTTTATAAAAACTCAAAATCTAAGAGAGTTCTTCTACTATAGATCATGTATAATGAACGCAGTACTGCAGGGGTTACTTTTCCACATCTGAAGATCAACAGTTTTGTATCTTGTGCAAACTAGTTTAACAACTATTCTTAATCTAAGAGAGCTTTTCCTAGAATAGTTCATGTATAGTAAACGCAGCACCTCAAAGGTGTACTTTTCTACATCTGGAGATCAACAGAGATTAATTTTAATTTGCTTAGACAAACCAGTTTTAAAAAAAAACTCTTAATCTAAGAGAGTTCTTCTACTATAGATCATGGATCATGTATAATTAACGCAGCATCTTTAAAATGTACTTGTCCACATTTGGAGATTAACTAACCTCAGAGTTTTGTATCTTACACAAACCAATTTTACTGACTCTTAATCTAAGAAAGCCTTTGGTAATATTTGGTTACAACAATGCAGAATAATATTGGTTTACACAAGCAGTTATACAAATTTTATTTAATCTAAGATAGATACTGGCAAATTGTTTTTCTTTGATTAATATATCTGCTTATTTTCATTTGGTATAAATGTACGGAGTGGGATACAAGAGCAGAAGAAGAAGAACTACCAGCAGAACCAAAGTATGATTTTTAGTTTCATTCCTGATAAGTTTTTAGCAGAAAAAATGAATTGATTGACTCTTGAGACAAAATGAACATACAGGGTTCTATTCATGTCAACATATTATGTAGAAGAGAGAAAAATTAGAACAAATTTCTTACGTGTGGGTTTCCAAGGCTGGGCCAGGGCCAGAAAAAGTCTCTGTATGGTGTCGTAGTCATTGGCCATCTCCAGTAGAGAGATGGCCTCAACAAACTCTTCCAGACCTAAGGAAATATTGGTGGTTAGCACTTTTGTTTTGTGAGTCAAGTAATAAACATACATATACAATGCTCAATGTAGTAAATGTGTTAAACGTATCAAGATTTATGTTTGTGTGTAATAGAACTGGGCAATAGTGTCAAGTAAGAAATTATATACAATATTGGCCTAGACTATACTCTACCATAGTAAATATGCTGAGTGTATCAAGATTTATATGACCAAATAAAATGTATACTTTAAGACCAACAATCATGTTTCTGACATTATATGATTTAAAAGAAAGTAGAGAAAAGCATTAGTAGTGTGGGTACAAAAGTTATCTAGAGAAAAAAGTGTAACTTAGGTCATTGAATGAGCAAAGTTATCAAGTAGAGAAAAAAAGGAAAAAAGCATACTGAAGTCATTGTTTGGTTACTAAAATTATCAAGTAGAGAAAAGCATTACTGAGGTCATTAAGTAAAGTTATCAAGTAGAGAAAAGCATTACTGAGGTCGTTGTCTGGGATAGGTATTTTGTCAACCAGACACCTGCGCTGGAAGGACTTCTCATGCTCCAGGTCCTGGGCCAGGTGCGTCATGTGCAGCACACCTTTCTTGCGCAGGATCTCCTCCCTCTCTGCCTCAGGGACCAGCTGAAGGAGTTTACGCACCAAGCTGGAATAGTGAAAACTTTACTAGTAGGAGGGGATATAATGGTGGAAACAATTTTAGTAGGAGGAGATGGAATGGTGAAAGCCATTTTAGTAGGAGATGTAATGGTCAAAACTATTTTAGTAGGAGGGAATGTAATGGTGAAAGTCATTTTAGAATGAGGGAATGTAGTGGTCAAAACCATTTTAGTAGGAGATGTAATAGTCAAAACTATTTTAGTAGGAGGGAATGTAATGGTGAAAGCCATTTTAGAATGAGGGAATGTAGTGGTAAAAACCATTTTAGTAGGAGATGTAATGGTCAAAACTATTTTGTATTTTTGTTAGTATGAATTTTAATAAAAAATAGAAAATATTAAAACCCTAGATTTAAACAAGAACCGTTATAAAAACATAAATATGTGAATAAATACAGCAGTACAATAGAAATTTTATTAAACAATAATACTGATAGACAAACTAGCTTTATAATGGTATTGCTTAGAGGACAATCAATTCAATCATAAAAGTATAACAATGCGTGTCTTATTTACAAGCAAAATTACTATACTCACACAAACTTTACTGATAATATGTCTTAAGGGTTCTATACAGCAGTAACACTTACTGAATTGGTAAAAGCTTTGCATTGTTGGCGTGGAGACTTAAAAGATCGTCCAAGGCAGCTACGACATTTCCCTCCGCAGCGTGAAACATTCCCCTCAGATACAGGTAGGAAGACTTGTAGAACAGGTTACGACATTCCTAATGGACAGGTGAGAATTTGTAGAACAGGTTACGACATTCCTGACATTCCTAATGGGCAGGTGAGAATTTGTAGAACAGGTTACGACATTCCTAATGGACAGGTGAGAATTTGTAGAACAGGCTACAACATTCCTGATGGGCAGGTGAGAATTTGTAGAACAGGTTACGACATTCCTAATGGACAGGTGAGAATTTGTAGAACAGGTTACGACATTCCTAATGGACAGGTGAGAATTTGTAGAACAGGTTACGACATTCCTGACATTCCTAATGGACAGGTGAGAATTTGTAGAACAGGTTACGACATTCCTAATGGACAGGTGAGAATTTGTAGAACAGGTTACGACATTCTTAATGGACAGGTGATAATTTGTAGAACAGGCTACAACATTCCTGATGGGCAGGTGAGAATTTGTAGAACAGGTTATGACATTCCTAATGGACAGGTGAGAATTTGTAGAACAGGTTACGACATTCCTGATGCGTCAGTGGTGCTGCTAGGTGTCTGGGTTTAGGATTAGGTTGGTGAAAGAGTAGCTGCTTCTGATTGTGTCAGAGTTAGTGTTAGAGTGACTGTATCTAGCTGTTTCAGTGTAAATGTTTGTGTCTGTTAAAGTAGTAGTGTCTAGGTCTGTATAGAATGGTGACATTAAAAAAATTTCTTACTTAAAAAATTAATATTATTTTAAATGTATCAACTAAAATCCTTTATATAAACTCCAAAACTTTAATTTAAAAGCATATTAGTAAATATCTGGAGAAAAAACGCTAAATAATTTTAATTACCAGTACATGGATTAAATGATAAATTGTGAAATATCAAGATTAAGAGGTAGTTAAGTAACTCAAAGTAAATTTCCAAATAGAAATCTATAATTTATAAAAAATGTAAAAAAATCCAACACTAAAAATGAAACTTTTTAAAATTAAGTCTAAAATAAAAAAAGACAAAGAAAATTACATCAATGTTTTTGTTCAGCATATCCATGGTGGTCTTAGCGTAAGAAAGAGAATCATTGAGAGGTGGAAGCCGGAAGACTTCAAAAGTGCGAGGGGAGAGGGAGGAGAACGTTGTGATGGAGACTTGTCTGCGGGTAGGTTTCATCATCTGCCTGCAGGAAAAGAATGATAGGTTAGAACTGTGTCATCGAAATATAGCCATGTAAATAGATTTATATAAATAAAGTGATAGAAATTAGATTTTAAAAACGAATAAATAAAATCATGTAAATAAAGTAAATACCATAAGTAAAGTTTGATAAATAAAGTCACATGACTCTAAAATACATTGTTATAAAAAAAATTAATATAAATAAAGTAGAAAAAAAAAAATTTGGTATAAGTTTTTTTATAATAATAAAACTTCAAGGTGCAGCTTGGGAATGTAAAAAATGAGGAGAGGTGGGGGTGACGTTCGACTGGACAGCTTTAGTTTTGGTATTGGTAAAATTGGTGGTAGATTTTAAGACTAGGAAGCTAATACAAACTAGACTGACTTTCTACACAAGCCTATGACTGGTGTAAAAAAGTCTAGGTCATTAGTCCCCCCCTCCCCCCCTGTTCAATCACTACACATAGTAATTGCCTGAATCTCTGAAATGCATTGACAGAGTACAGAAGAAATCATATTATTTACTTTTGCTAGATACTCCACAAGGCATTAAAGTATTGATCTGGGGAGGGTGTGAATGACTGGGTACTTTATCTCTTTACCTGTGAGAAAGTTGTCTGGAGTGTGCGTTAATGACTAGGTACTTAACTTACTTACCTGTGAGAAAGTTGTCTGGAGTGTGCGTTAATGACTAGGTACTTAACTTACTTACCTGTGAGAAAGTTGTCTGGAGTGTGCCTTAATGACTAGGTACTAAACTTACTTACCTGTGAGAAAGTCCAGGTGAGCCATCTTGTCCACTAATTATCTTCTTGGCATAGGGACGAGTTTTGATTTCATAATCTGACCAGTAGTCAAACTTCTCATTGAGCCTGTCCTCAAGAAACTGCTTAAACATGTCAGTGTTTAAAACCTAATGACAAAAGTCAATAGTTCAATATTAGAACTTTTTTGTAAAATATATTTACCGCTAAATATATTTACTTGGTTAATAAACAATTTTAATAGAATAAAATTGTAAAAGTTTTCGTTTTTATAAATGAAAGTCCCTTACCAATTTATGAACTTTGCTTTTGGCTAACTAAATATAACCATTTTACAATATTTACTTACATTTAATAAACCAGAACATAAATACAATTAAAGAAAGTCCCTTACCAATTTATGAATTTAGTTTTGGCTAACCAAATATAACCAAATATAATCATTTTACAATATTTACTTATATTTATTAAACCAAAACATAAATACAATTAAAGAAAGTCCCTTACCAATTTATGAACTTTAGTTTTGGCTAACCAAATATAATCATTTTAAAATATTTACTTAAGTATTGATTAAACTAAAACATAAATACAATTTATGAACTTTAGTTTTGGCTAACCCAATATAATCATTTCACAATATTTACTTATATTCATTAAACCAAAACAAAAATAAAATTAAAAACAAGAAACAAGTGCAGGCAAGGGGGCGAATAATAAATTATATTAGCAAGCAAATTAGTCAAATCTCCACCAGGATCTGACATGTAATTAGGTCTTAAGGTCACTATATCTACAACAACATAAAAAAAAAGGTAAAACGCTAGCATGCTTTTCCTCAAGAATATACATTTTAAAGATATTTTTTAAAACTAAAATTCCATTATTATATTGTTTAAAAACCATAAATTATAAATAAACATTAGCAAAGGTTTTCAGTGATTTGTTTTAAAAATAAATAAATAAAACCAGCAGTGGTTAAATATCGTGCTAAGAAATTGATGTGCAGTTTTATTTTCAAATATTTCTTTTCGAAATTTACAAATCAGACTTAGCAGCCAAGCCCAAAGCTGTTTGCAAATGGAGTCAAATCATTTACCCTCTCGTAGAATGGTTTATCACACTCAGGAACACTCTCAATAAACTGCTGCTTGTTAAAGCGACGAAGTTCAATTTTCAAATATGCTAAAGTGCCTCTAAAAATTCAGAGAAACAATGTTGGAGAGAAAAAAACAACAATCAAAAGCAACAACACTCAAAAACTTCACACCATGCTGTAAGATGGTTAGCAAGATTAAAGAAATTTGTGACAAGAAAACACATTTTCATTCATTTTATTTATTTATACAAGTAAGTGAAGCTTCTGTACCTTATATAATAAGTCATGCTAAACAAACAAACTTAATTAAAAGGAAGTTTTAGAGGTATTGTTATACCATAAATGAAAAATTTAACAATTTTAAAAAAGGACAGCTTTATCACATTTTTTGTTAAATGTCTTATTAAGTAATTTCTAAAAATGTGTTTTCTTTTGTCAACAAAGAAAAGGAAAGAAATTGACAAAAAGTATGGCAGCACACTTTTATACAAGAAGTATGGCACCACAAATTACAATGTTAATCAAACACAGCAATCTACAAACACACCTCCACATTATATTAGAATCAAAACAATTTATACATCTTGAATTTTACATTTTCATTTTTAAAAAAGCTTTAATAAATTTAAATGTTAAATAAAATACTTAATAGTTCCTATATATTCAACTTGTTTCATTAAACAGTTAGGATTATTCACAATTAGATATGACACAAATCAAATAAAAACATCCAAGCTTGTAAAATACAACATTGAAAACAACTTGTTAAAAGGAGTAATACAGTACACAGCAGTAATAAAACTCACCTGAACAAATTGACCATCATCTCCAAGAAAGCAAAACTAATTTCTGTGTTAAACTGCATACACTTCTTCATGCGGAACGCTTTTTCTTCCTCAATATCATAGCAGAATGGTCTAAAAGACAACAACAAAGCAACACTTATTAAAATTTGTAACTCAAATAACAAAAGCAGTTAAATGTAAGCGTTTTACCAAAAAAAAAAGTAAAAACTTAAAAAACGTCACAGAATAAAAAAATGTTTTGATATGTATTTAAGAAATAAACAGTAGTCTCATATATTAAATTAAAGAACTACAATGATTTTCAAAATTAAAAACTCATAAGCTATACATTGAGTTAAATGATAAAACCAATAAATTATCAAATTCTGTAAACATAGAAACATTACAGTATTTATATGATTGACAACTGGGCTGTACAGCCTTGATTATTTTTCTGCAGATACAACTGTTATGGTTAAGCATAGGGTTTGGACTTAGGTCAAAAAGGATAACAAATAAATAGATTCAATACATATTGGCTGTTATGACAGATGTACTAGCCTTGTTTAAATAACACTGTAGAAACTATAGCAGAGGGAAATTATTATTTTACCTTTGAACATCTGAGAGTTCCATCTGAAATTTGGATCTCTTGCATATTTTCTTAAACAGGTTAGCAGGCTCTACAGGAAGGTTTGGAATGAATCCAGGCTCGCAGAGGACGTAGAAATCTGAGTGGGGGTTGATCTGGGTGGGGGACATATTCTCAGAGGCGTTCACTGTAACGGTGCCTTCATCTATGTTGGCAACGACTAGACCTTCAACCTAAATAGTGGGAATAGTTAATTTTAATGTCATATGGCTCCATAGTCTAATAGACCTTTAGATGATAGCACATTGGAAATCCAAGCACAAAGCCTGGGCCCAAAGTTGAGAAGAGCGAGATGTTGTCCATGTATCAGACCCCCCTCTCTCCATACAGCTGATGGACCCAAGGGACAGGACGTTACCTATACAACTTGGAATCAGTTGTGTTGCTAGTCTCTTATTTACACTGCTTTTACACCTAGGACATGTATATTAAATATGTCTAGGAAAAAATTTGTAGCAAGTAAATATAAATGTTGTGGGAAAAATGTTTTCATAATACGTTAACTTGCAAGTTTTTTTTCTAGATATGCATAGTATACATGTCGTAAGTATAAACCCAGTGTTAGACTTATTAGTTTAAAAAATTTAGGAAAATTTTGTTTTTTATTTAACCTAAAGTAAATAATTTTATTAAAGAGAAGAGTTTTTATTTCTTTATCAAAATAAATTAAAGAGTAGTTTGATTTGTAAGTGTATGATTTCATAAGTGAAAATTATATTTACTATTATGAACAGTACAAGTGGAAGTAACAAAAAAAAAACAAAATGGGATTATTTTCAAATGATGAAAGAAGATGTAGTATTTACTTACGACATATAAGACATGCATTTTGAGTCATAACTTCTTTGTTGAATTGCAGTGTATTTTGATAAACATTTAAATGTTTGTTTCAGGGGAATTTTTTATACCAGTGTCGGATAAAAAAATCTTCTTTAAAAAAAGGTGTTATGTTACTGGTAGGTAACTAAACTACACACATGGCTGGATAATGTCCCTAACCCTAACCCCAACCCTTGTCCTACCATACGGCTAACCCTAATTTCTAACCGGAAAATTAGTCGAGATTACAATACGACTAATAACCCAACACACCTATTTTATAGAAGAGTCTATTATAGGACATCAGTATCTAAAATCATCCATTATTTTATTTTGAAATGAATGTAAACTGAATATAAAATGTGAATTTAACACAACCCACATCACCTGCTCAACAACATCCAAATGTTTGGAGTGACAGCCCATCATGAACGTCCCTGGGGCCTCTAGCAGCTCCAGAGAGGAGGCGCTAAGTATCGGAACATAGGTGAACCTCCAGCTGAATGGTAGAATGTAGTACAAAAAACTCTGGAGAAGACAAACAACACACACAATCAAAGGTGGTAAACATCAGAAATTCTATCAAACTTTATTAGTAAGGATACAACCTAACTTATTTTTTTTGGTTTTGTTGAGACCCTTTTGCTTTGTTTCATTAAAATCACTAATATTTAGTGAAGTGGCTAAAAAGGTAATATATTTTGGATTCTATTTTTTTAAATAAAAGTAAGCATATTAGTAATTCATCCGCAATTCAGGGTAACTATTGAGTTACTTATATGTCATGTAATTTTTGTATATGTCCGTTACACCCTGAGCTAAAAATGAACTAAATAATTTCAAGAACTGACAATCAAACCACTGACAACCAAACCACTAACAAACCCATCTCACATGACAGTGGTCAGTAAAGCGTAGTTGAAGCTGACAAACACAACCCTCTCACACACAACTGACAACCCAACCACTGACAACCCAACTACTGACAACCCAACCACTGACAACCCAACCACTGACAACCCAACTACTGACAACCCAACCACTGACAACCCAACCACTGACAACCCAACCACTGACAACCCAACTACTGACAACCCAACCACTGACAACCCAACCACTGACAACCCAACTACTGACAACCCAACCACTGACAACCCAACCACTGACAACCCCCACCTCCATGACTGTGGTCAGCAGAGCGTAGTTGAAGCTGACAAACACAACCCTCTCACACAAACTGACAACCCCCACCTCCATGACAGTGGTCAGCAGAGCGTAGTTGAAGCTGACAAACACAAGCCTCTCCTCACACAGGATGGCTGTAAACACCTTCAGCAGCTCATCCACAGGGAAACACAGGAAGGTCAGGTGTAGGGGCAGGTCAAGGACAGGCTTCTCAGGGGTCTCAGTGGGGAACAATGACACGGATAAATTAAACACAGTCATTTCCTGGAAAAAAAAATTGTATTATAAAAAATTGAATTTTTTTAACAGAAAAAACAACTAAAATAATTATTAGTAGAATTACTATTAGTAACTCTTAATAATAGACTTTTTTAGCTACATAATCAGAATGTTATCATAGATATAATAAAGGTAAAGATAGAACAATTTTTAAACGAAATACAAGTTTAAGAACATTATTATTGAGAACAATTTTTAATAGTATTAGAAAGACAAATTAGATTTTGTAAAATTATTTCAAGTCACGCAGATAACAAAAAGTGAATTAGAACATGAAAGAAACATACTACAGCTAACTAAACACCAAAATAAACAGACATACTACTAAAACATCAAACAGATCTAATACAACATTAAAACAAACTAAAAGAAGTAAACAAAAATAACCAAAAAAAAAAAAAAACCAGGCATACTAAAACAATAGACTACTAAAAAATTAACACAACAGCAAAACAAAAAACTAAAAATAGCACACAAACATAACATAACAACAAAAAAAACAGACATACTACTAAAACATTAAACAGATCTAATACAACAACAAACTAAAAATAGCAGACAAAACAAAAAACAACCAGACATATGATAATAAAACAGACATACCAAAACTACCACAAACATACTAGACCAAAATGACATTCTAAAAAAACAACAAACAGATATGCCAATACAAAACAAACATTGTAAAAGAACAACAAATAAACTACAACAAACAGACTAAAATAACAAACATTCTTCAACAACAACAAACAGACTACAACAAACAGATATGCCAATACAAACATTGTAAAACAACAACAACAAACATACAACAAACAAACAATCATACCACAACAAACAGACATACCACAACAACATACCACAAACAAACAGACATACCACAACAACATTGCCAGCAGGGGGAACAGGTGACATGGTCATGGTGTAGGTGAAGTCTTTAAGAAACTGAAACATTTCTTCCAGGTCTCGCTCCACATGGCTGATCATGCTGAAATATTTTTTTAAGTAAATTTTAATTATCAAAGAAAGCTGAATATTTGCATAATATAAATACAATACTTTGATCAAACAATATTATTTCTGAATAATCCTAACAATGGGATGGTGTGGTTGAATTGTAGAGCTTATAAATGCTAACCCAAAAACCTCAAGTTTCGATACTGGGCTCTAGTCTGTAGGAAGTCCCTGATTCCAACCTGATAGGTACCTGACTAACATTAGATAAACAAAGGTGGCTGGGCATAGTGCTGACCAAAGTATACTCTCATATGTGACTCTAAATGTCTATACACAATGAACCAACAGATCTTCATAATTATTTTTTTATATAATTTTTAATCAAATAATCCAAAATATATTTTGATCAGAATATAATTTATTTCAGCATAATTTAAAAACAGAACTAAGAGTAAACATATTTTAAATCAAATGTAACTACACTTTCACAATTGTAAAGAACAAAAAATATTCCCCCTACCAAGACAAGCATTCCTTCATGGCGTAGAAGTAAGGGTATTTGGAGACCAGCACACAACACTGAGGGATGTAGCAATAGAATATGTTAGGATGGTGGTTCAGTTTCTGGCTGGTGTCTTGTATGGTGTAAGAGATGTTTCCATTTGACTCCTACAATAATTAGGTTTTAATCAATTAATTGATTAATTCATGATAGTGTCTTGTAATGTGTAAGATATGTTTCCATTAGACTCCTGGGATACACAATAATTAGGGTTTAATTAATTAATTGACAAATTCATGATAGTGTCTTGTATGGTGTAAGAGATGTTTCCATTAGACTCCTGGCGAAACACAATAATTAGGTGTAAATTAATTAATTTGTTAATTCATGATAGTGTCTTGTATGGTGTAAGAGATGTTTCCATTAGACTCCTGGGGAAACACAATAATTAGGTGTAAATTAATTAATTTGTTAATTCATGATAGTGTCTTGTATGGTGTAAGAGATGTTTCCATTTGACTCCTGGGATACACAATAATTAGGGTTTAATTAATTTGTTAATTTATTATAGGGTCTAGTATGGTGTAAGAGATGTTTCCATTAGATGCCTGGAAATACACAATTATTAGGTTTATTAATTAAGTAGGAGAGATGAAAATTGAAGCTGTTTCCAAAATAATCAAAAAAAAAAGATGGGGCACATCCTAAGAATGATTCCAGAAGACACCACAGGAATAGCGCTAAACTGGACACCCCGGGGGGAAAAAAATCAAGGAAGGCCAAGGGAGATGTGGAGGCACATGGCTGTGAAGCAGCTGGCAGAAGCAGGACTGTCATGGGAGACTGCCAGGAAAATTGCCGGCGAGCGACAAAAGCGGAGGGAGCTTTCTGTGTCTGCCCCATGTGTCTAGGGTACAAAAGGATTAATTAAATAGCTAAATCCTTGAAGACATGGTTTTGTATAATGTAAGGTATGTTTCTATCAAACCCTGGCAATACAAGATGTTTCCATTAAATTCCTGGGGGTAATTAGTAATTAGGTGTTACTTCATTCATGAGTTAACCTCAGCCCATGAGGAGTCTTGTCTGTAAATAAACTAGTGACCAGATTTTGTTTAGCTGCTGTGCAGTAAAACTTGAAATTTTTAAATACTTTTTTAAAGGTAAAAGATTATTTTGTATTAATAATAATGCCATTTCACAAAACCTTTATTAAGTAAACAAAACCTAAAATTAAAATGAGAATTTTCTATCAATGAACTTTGCATAAAATTTTTTATACTATATTTTTTATTGTTGATATAATACATTTTGGTTATTTAAATATAAATAAAAAATGATGTCCCTAGGCCAAGCAATTGCTTGTATCATAAACAAGATTTGTTAACTTGTAGACTTTTGTCTTGATAAACACCAAACAAAACTTGAGAACAATTCAAATGTCACATCAATATAAGACTTAATACCTTGGTTAACTTGTATGGTTTATAGAAGGTCAGACATGAAGCATACGTCTTGCTGCCTGACACATCAGTCAGCACTAAGAAGTGGATGCTGTTGTCTGGCTTTTCCCTGAACACATGAACATTCTCTGCAGAAAAACATCCCCAAGTCAATTTATAAGAAAGACATGTATATTTTCTGCAGAAAAAACATCCGCAAGTCAATTTATAAGAAAGGCATGTAAGTTTTAGAGTTTATTAGCGTCAACAAAGACTAGTTCCAAACATTTTGTCATTGCAGAATTCAGAATTAAAAAAAAAAAATTCTATGTTTCCTAAAGGATGCCAAAACAAGAAATTAATCATTATAAGTGTATACATATATGTATTTCACATGATTTGAAATATACTACTTCTACAACAATAAATAGTAATTACATAGGGTTGTGTAAATGATTAACTTAATTTCACAAAAAAGCAGAAAATAAATATCAATTTCAGATGTAATTTTTGGGATGCTTATGAAGTAGAGCTGATATGTTACTCTGATCTGGACATTGGAAAGGATTGTGTGCTGTAAACTAAGCCCAGCTGCCCTTAATCTCCCTACTAGACCTGGGTACTCTCAAGCATGATAACGAAGCTCTAAACCTTTTTGGTAGCAATCATGTAGCCTAGCACAAGAACAAATAATGTTACTTACTAACTTTTATAAACAAATTTAATCAGATATAACCTTTGCTGTGACTGGAAAGATACGCATAAAAAAAGTACGCGACAGCATTTTTAATTTCTAAAGTCAAGCATTTATAGATATTAAAAAAAAAGCGACTACATGTATATTGTTGCATAATAAAATGTATTTTCATGAAATATGACAAAAGTAAAGTGTTTTAGTTTAAATAACATGTATTTTTGAATTTTTCTGCCCGCAAAAGTTTTCCTATTGCACATTTTTCTGGGAACCAACCTTTACATATTAACTTTAATTATTAAATATTTAATCATACAAAGCCTTAAAATACTAACTCTTAAAATATTTTAATAAAATGTAAAAATATATCAGGTACCAGGAAAGCAGAAAGTCGTGATGGCCTCAATAGCATCTTTAGACAACGGTAGGTCTACAACTGCCTTGGACATGGCAGTGGCTTCAGGTTTGCTCAGGTGTTGTTTGATGACTGATGGGTTGACAGACACAGTGCGATGGGACGTGTAGTTTTTACTTCTCCCGTTGATGGAATCTTCTGCTTGTGACCTGATACAAACACAGCGAGAAATTTGGTAAGAAATATGGGAAGTAATTTAGTGCTAAAGATGTACCATGTACACTTATGTCATGGGCCGAAAACAGATCAACGGTAAAGAGGCACCAAGCGAACACGCGAGCCTAGTTTTGTGCGCCATAACTAGATTAAAAAACCTGGGAAGCAAGATTTCCCGGTTTTTAAAGATATTTCCCGGCTATTTATCGAAATTCCCGGTTTTCCCGGTTGGGAAATTAAATTTCGAAATTCCCGGTTTTCGGGCTGTGTGGAAACCCTGAAGATAGTAGTAAATGCACTGGAAAACTGACCTTCTTAAAGGTAAACTACTTTAATAAAATCTAACCTGAGTTCACTTTCTTAGAAAATGGACATATGCTTTCATTATTTTTTATTTATTAACCTACACAACAATTCTAACAAATGATATAAATTCCACATTCTTTAATCATAATAGAATGGGAACCTGATATTTATTTTTATTTTCGCTTTACAAAGAAATTTAAACCCTGAATAATATAATGTTAAAATGATGTTATAAAAAATTCAACATTAAAAAAATAGTTAAAGAAGAAACTATATATATATATATATATATATATATATATATATATATATATATATATATATATATATATATATATATATATATATATATATATATATATATATATATATATATATATAATTAAAGAATATAAAACTAAAAAAAAAAACCCTCCATGCCATTCAGACCTTATGTTCTAGAAAACAGAGGCTCATATGTTTCTTGATCACAGGTTATGAAAGGATGCTCAGCCATTTTACTTTCCCTAACGTGAGTCAGGTGCCCATCAGACCTGGGTGGACTCAAGGACTTCCTACAGACCTGAGTCTGGGCCAAGATCTGAACACGAGACCTTTGCTCTAGCAGGCAAACACTCTACCATTCAACCATGCCATCCCCTAATTAAAACACACCTGAAAGACTTAAAACTGTTCATGCCAACCACAGACTCAGGTGCGGGCGGGTAGGTCGGGTCCTCCATCAGGTGGGGCTGGAACACCAGGGCTTTAGAGGCAGATATGGCTGCAAGGACCTGAGCCTCGTAGACATCGTCAAAAAGATTGCTGAGTAAATCATCCCTGTCACCATCACTCTAGGAAAAATAAACAGATCAGACATGTATGCTTCTTCTTTTTCGTTCTTAATTTTAGTGTTGGAGGGGATTCCCTCCAACACAATTAAGGATACGTGTCAACTGGTTATGTGCTATTGAGGTCATTGACACCGATTTCAGCCTGCTTTTCTTTTTGAATTTGCTTCCATAGCCTTTGTCCAACCAAGAACAAACTACAAGGCAGCAGTTGTTTGATTTTGGAGTTGTCTCGCCTAGAAGAGTGGCTGTCCCCAGCTAACGAGCCTCATCTGCCCGAGGGTTCAAACTAAAGACTCTTCGGTTTAGCAACCATGAGCTTTACCGACTCAACCATGCAGATCCCTGACATGTTAGCGTTAACTTCAAAATTTCATTTTGTAAACAATCACAAATATATTAGATGATGAAATAAGACATTACAAATTATATGTCAAAAATAAAATAGTAGGTAAATTGTTGTTTAAGATCTCCACCCATTTAGGATACAGCTATAAATAAAAGAATTGTGGGCTCATTAACAAAAAAAAGGGCTTCTTAATTTTTACAAAAAAAACTTCTATGCTACTAAAATTAAGTATCATAATATAATTGATTCTTAACTCAAAGATGGAAAAAGTACTGTAACAGTATAAAATGTTAATTTAAAATAAAAAGATAAAAAAAAAACAAAAAAAAACAACGTACATCATCTTTTCTTCCAGGCACCAGTCCAGTATTCTCATCCAGGCCAACAACCAGCATCAGTTCAGCAAACCTGTTGTACAGGGTCAGTGCCGGGCCACGTACCGACTCTGTTAACTTCTCAGACATCCTCAGTGGTGAGCTTAAGACAGCTTGCTAGCACAACCTGAACTCTAAAAGGTCAAAAGGTATAACTATTTAAACATCAACAAAATGAAGATGAATTCATTCCGACATCCTCAATGGTGAGCATAAGACTGCTTGCTAGCACAACATGAACTCTAAAAGGTCAAAAGGTATACCTATTTATACACTAAAATAATGAAGATGAATTCATTCAGACATCCTCAATGGTGAGCATAAGATAGCTTGCAAGCACAACCTGAACTCTAAAAGGTCAAAAGGTATAACTATTTATACATTAGCATAATGAAGATGAACTCATCAGTGATGCAGTGGGTGAGGCACAAGTTGGCCTGTATATTTTTACCACTTAATTTAGTTTATCTAAAATTTTGTTTTCTTATTTTAACACAATTTAGGCTATGCCGACACTTATATTATTGCAGTCACTTGATGGCTTATATGACAATCAAATAGTAAACCACTGCAAGAAATTGCAGTAGAGAATGGAATGGAATTTATTAACATTTTAAATATTTTATTTGATAAGTTCTAATTTTGGCAGAAAAGATTAAATTAGCCTTAAATTACCATGCTTTTTTCTGACAAAAAGAAAAGCAAATGCCTGTTGAAACAGGTAAGCGATACAATTACTTGTGGGAAGATAACACGTAAACATTCTGCTATAAAATTTATAAGAATATATTTTCTCAATGATTATAGTTATAGTTTATCGCATGTTTATGATTATAACCTGATGGTCCATGAGGCAAGTGAACTAGAGTTTTTGGGTGGATTCAGGGATATTCTACAGACTTAAACCTGTATTCGAACTCGAGACTTTTGGGTAAGCAGTCGCAGTGAGTCTAGCACTCTACTGCCAGACCACACCATCCCGTTCAATAGTAAAACAGTTTATACTTAGCTTATAGGCTTTATTAATTTTTAAATTAAATGCATTCCTCAACTTACAATCTTCACACATATATAGATCTCTCTCTAGTACTGTATCATCATAAGTGTCAGCAGCATGTAACATCTAGATGTTTCTGGAAAATACATCACATCTCATCATCTGGCTCATGAAATTGGAAAAGATTCACTTGTAAATTTAGGCCTAATCAATATTATTTCAATATAAAATATAATCTATATGCTAGATCTAGGTCCTATAGAATATAAATATAATATTTTATATAGGCCCTAATTATAATAATTAGCCTAGGCCTATATAAAATAGATCTATATATATATTATATATATATAGATCTAGATCTACTTTTTAGGCAGTAGCGTAGCGAGGGGGGGGCGGGGGGGGGGGGCATATGTCCCCGGGCGCCGACCTTAGGGGGGGGCGCCAAATTGAAAGTTTGAGGGCGGGTGCAAATAAAAAGTTCGAGGGGGGGGGTGCAAATCGAAAATTTGCTCCCAAGGGGGCGCCAAATTGAAAGTATGTCCCCGGGCGCCGGTAAGGGTCGCTACGCCTCTGTTTTTAGGTTGTTGTTAATGTTAGTCTTATATAGTAGAACAAGATGTGCCACTGAGATCTTTTCTCGGACTACTATAAATATATCAATATATGCCAGAAATTAACTTTAAACAGCAGTGTTTGCGAGCAAGATTTGCTATATATATAAACAGCAGCCATTTGTAAAATAGAGTGGCTTCCCCCTGTCTCACGCTATATCCGCTATAAAAAAAAACTTAAACAAGATGGCTGCTATAGTAAATGAGCATGGTTGCATCTGTTGGAAACATCACTAGTCTTCATTTATTACTGAAAAGTTTTAATTCAATTGTTTAAAAACAGGTACATAAATCATTAAATGAAACAAAGAAACATTTTTGTATTTTTTAAAACATAAATCCTCCTCAAAATGTGAAATAATTATTAAAATTTAAGGAGTCACCTGTTTTTCACATTACTAGTCGCGGGCGATTTTACGTACCCAAAACGATAGATTACCATTAATTTTATATAGTTTATAGTTTATAGTAGTAGTAGTAGTTTATTAAGACTACTAGATCTACTTACTACTACTAGTAGTAAGTAGATCTAGTAGTCTTAATAAAGTCTAAATCTAGATCTAGATTCTAAAATCTAACTAAACTAGATCTAGAATCTAGATCTAGAAATCTATCTAGAATCTACACTCCACACTTATACTAATATACTAGTCACTAAAATTTAAATTTTAAAATGAAGACTTGCTTTTCGATTTCAGACGACTGACTTAATCTAGAAAATCTAGATCTAGTACCAACCATAACAACGTAATACTACAGACTACGTAGTTAATTGCAAACGCTTATCTGCATCGTCACACTTATTTATTTTTCATGATTAAAAATAATTAAAAGCGAATAGGATTGGCTTAATGTTGAATCGTTGTTACAAGTGCATTTGTTTAGAAAATAGTGACCTGACTACTGTGTTTATAATTTTACAAAGGGAAATAACAGGATTAATTCATATATATTCATATAGAGTAACTGTTCTTTGTATATAGATCTAGATCTATATTTTCTTTTTCGAAATTTACTTTGTTCTAAACTCAAATGAATCGATAAATGACGATATATTATAGTCTAGATGTACTCTACTTGTTTGAATGTTGTCAAATTATTTCCATCTCAATTAAATCATATCTTTGGCTCAAGTTAATCTTTTTCAGGATATATTATAACGAAGAACCTTTAACTTCAAATGTATGACAATACTAATAGAGTAATATAATTTCTAGGTTCAAGTTCAGCTTACCGCAAATACAGAACAGTGCAAGGTGCCTTTTTAAAAACAAAACTAAAATAGTGGACCGACATATTATCATACACCCTAGCTTTTTAGAAATAATGTAGAAATCCATGAAGTTGCCCATCTTCAGAAAGCAATGTAAATCACTTTGAACGTTATTATAGTTGGATAATATTAATATGTATGCACAATGGCAAGACCAAAAAAAAAATGAACACAAGTGTCGCCTCCCTTACACTGCGTTTACACTCGCAACATGTAGATCTAGATCTAGATTCTATAATCTAGTGCTTCCACTTGAAATTTTCGGGAGGGGGTGGGGGCGGATTAAATTTCCATTGGGGGGGGGGGGGGGAGCGCGCTGTTAAAAGTATATATTTTCAGTTTTCTATATATATAGATTCCATTTCTTTGAGGTGGGGGGGGGGGGCAATAGACTTTTTTTTGGATGGGGAGGGGGGGGTTCGGCTCCCTAATAAATGCCTGGAAGAAACTATTTAACTATACACGTCGTAAGTTAATTTTGTCAGAAAATGTAGTGGGGAGGGTGGGAGGGGGTACTTACTACGAAGTTTTTTCTTCTAGACATGTATAGTATAAAAGCGGTGTCACGCCCACACTGTGTTCATGAGTTAAAGAACGATTGAGGTCACGGGATAGCAGTTAGACTCATGGGCGTAACGAGGTCGGGTGTCACTCGGTGCGTCACTTAATGGTGTCACCCCCCAGAGGCGTAGCGACACTTCCCGGGGACAAACTTTCAAATTTTCGATTTGCACCCTCCCCCCCCCCCCCTCAAACTTTCGATTTGCAACCCACCCCTTCAAGTTTTTCTCTATATATTTTGCTATTTTTTGCCTTGGTATCACCCCCCTTAAGTGGTGTCACCAGGTGCTGTCCGCACCCCCCCCCCCCCTCGCTACGCCTCTGGTTAGACTATTCCCTTGACCTTAATTACGGGTGAGTTAAAAAACAACGACTAACCTCACGCATGCGTACGTGGTGATAACTATCCATTATCCTCAAGTGACAACATCGCTGTCACAACAACTTGTGTTGTTGAACTGTCGGATGGGAGCGTTAGTCATTGTTGAGGCTAGAGAGGGGTAGTCAATGTTGCGGCTAGAGAGCGGTAGTTAGTGTTAAGGGTAGAGAACGGTAGTTATTGTTGAGGGTAGAGAGCAGTAGTTATTGTTGAGGGTAGAGAGCGGTAGTTATTGTTAAGGGTAGAGAGCAATAGTTATTGTTGAGGGTAGAGAGCGGTAGTTATTGTTGCGGCTAGAGAGCGGTAGTTATTGTTGCGGCTAGAGAGCGGTAGTTATTGTTAAGGGTAGAGAGCGGTAGTTATTGTTGAGGGTAGAGAGCGGTAGTTATTGTTGCGGCTAGAGAGCGGTAGTTATTGTTGCGGCTAGAGAGCGGTAGTTATTGTTGCGGCTAGAGAGCGGTAGTTATAGTTGCGGCTAGAGAGCGGTAGTTATTGTTGAGGGTAGAGAGCGGTAGTTATTTATTTGGCTAGAGAGCGGTAGTTATTGTTTCGGCTAGAGAGCGGTAGTTATTGTTGCGGCTAGCGGCTTGAGAGCGGTAGTTATTGATAATGAAAGAGCAGTGTGTGATTAAAATACTCTATGTTGACAAAGTTCATACAAGATTTGGGAAAAATATTGTATTTTAAGAAAAATTAACAGCAATTTTGACGGGGTTGTAGGCTGAGGTGTGACGTCATTTTAGGGGGGGGGGGATAGGAGATTCTAACTTTTTGTGACGATGTGTGACGGACGGGAGAGGGAAGGTAAAAATCTTATTTAAAAAAGCGTGACATCATTTATGGATGACCCCCAAGTACTGTACTGAGGCGAGCTAACTATGCTATCATAGAGCTTTTATACATGTACTCAAACAAGCACAAACAGGACTGTGACCACGTGATTAAAGACAGTTTAGTGTAGATAAGTGCTGTGTACTTTAGTTCTATAGCCACTGTATCCTAGGTTTGTTTTACTTTTGTGTTAGTATTTAGAATTGGTTCGGATCCCGGGCAGAGGCGTCGCGAGGCGGGGCCGGGGGTGGGGGGGGGGGGGTGCGGACCGCACAGGGTGACACCATCTAGAGGGGTGACACCAAGACGAAAAATTGCAAAATATATAAAAGAAAATGCTTTTTTGCCATTTCAGTTAATGTATATTTGAATATTTAGAGTTAAAAAGTCTTATAAAATTACACATTGACTATCTCGACAATACAAATACACACACTCTCATGTATATATATATATATATATATATATACAGGGGCGGAACTACAGTGCCGCCAGACCCCGCAATGCGGGGGGGCCCACGCCATTTAGGGGCCCAGAGCCGACAATAATAAAAAAATGTTATAGTTTAAAAAAAAAAAATTCTTTTATTTTGACTTATGGTTGTTTTGTAAAAAATTACCGTAGCTGCGGTTAGATTATCTTTATTCTATAGACACCACCCCACGCTCTTGTATATTCTTTTTCCCTTTGTTTTTAAACCACTGTGAAAGCCGAGTCTTTCTCCTACAATTAAACTTATCAAAGATAAGCAAATGTTCAAACCACTTCCATGACTTATTTCCCTTTTTTTTTAAAAAAAATTAGTCAAATAGGGGTGATCATAAGCTCCTTTTAATAGATTTGTACTAAACAAATTAAAAACTATTTACTTCTCTTAATTATTATTTTTTTATAAGTAATTACTAAAGAATGACATTTTATAAAAAGGAAATGTATTAAATCAATAATATTTTAAAAATTAATAATATAAATAAAAAAAACATGAAAATAAACATAACACGAGACACCATTACTTATACAAAGCTTTAATGTTTTATATTATTTTTGACCAACTGGATTTGTGGCTTCTATTAAAAATTAATTAAAACTGATTTTCACAAAACACACTAATGCACTAACACACATGACACGATGTTGGAATTTTTAAAATTGATGTATCTCAAATCCCTAACAGGCCAGTATAATGAGTATTTATGTTCGTATTTTGTGATTGTATATATATCATATCATATATAGGCCTATATATATATATATATATATATATATATATATATATATATATATATATATATATATATATATATATATATATATATATATATATATATATATATATGTGTATATATATATGGGGGGCCTAACATTTTTTTTGCGGGGTGGCCCTTTTTTTCTAGTTCCGCCACTGTATATATATATATATATATATATATATATATATATATATATATATATATATATATATATACTTTTTCTTTTGGTGTGTGTAGGGGATTGGGTGACATCATGAAGTGCCGCACCGGGTGACGCCCGACCTAGCGACGCCACTGATACCGGGCTCGAGTCTGTAAAACATCCCTGAGTCCAACCAGCTGTGATGGCTGCTTGACTCTCAAAGTCAGATGGGCATAGTGCTGACCACACTATCCCTATGTATGCGGAAGTCATTGAAACAGGTGAACTGTACTTCATCTGCCCCATGTGTCTTGGGCACGAACGGGAAAAGATGATTATGATTTTTTAGAACAGACTGTGAGTGGATAGTGTAGATATGTATTCAACTTTTATTTAGTGTTGTAACGAGCATTTGTTTGTTTTCGTCTCGTGTTCTGTAACCCGTTTGTGGTTTTTTGTCTTATGTTGAGTGACACAGTGGATTACCATTAACAAGGTGTCAGTATGTTCACAACATACATATTATCCCATTTTACACATCCCACGTGAGCATGTGCCATCATGATCATATCCCATTATAGTTCAAATCTGCTGTATCACAATATACTCCTAAAGGATATCCGGTGTAATTTCTCCTAAATTGTACAATGTGATCATACCCAGTAGCGTAGCGAGGGGGGGGGGGGGTAGGGGGGGGGCGGGGAGGGGGGACATATGTCCCCGGGCGCCGAGCTTAGGGGGCGCCAAAATGGGTTGGAAAAATAAATTGAAAGGTTGAGGGGGGTGCAAATTGAAAGTTTGAGGGGGGGGGATGCAAATCAAAATCTCGAGGGGGGGGTGCACATCATAATCTCGAGGGGGGGGGGGGGGTGCAAATCGAAAGTTTGAGGGGGTGGTGCAAATCAAAATCTAGAGTGGGGGGGGGGGTGCAAATCGAAAAGTTTGTCCCCGGGCGCCGGGAAGGGTCGCTACGCCTCTGATCATACCCCAGACGCTGTGCTGATGTTTTCTAACCACCTCGATGACCCACCCCTATCTGAACAGGATCAACATTTGAACATTACTCGATCTAAGGAAGATTGGTCCTTGTCTGAAACAATTCGACATATCAGCGGGAATTTATCCTAGCCGACACATGCGCTTCTTATAAAGATAAACCTTGGTGTATCAGCCAAATTGTTTTCTTATTCATCATTCTCAAATAACGCAAAATGATTTTAGAATTATTATTATTATTATTTTTTAATAGAAAAACATTTTTTTTTTCCCTTAATAGAAAAACATGATTTTTGAAAAATTGTAATAACTCTGCAATTAAATTTTATTTTACACAATATCAATTTAAGAATAATTCAATTTTGTTAATGTATTGTGTGTAGATCTACATATGAAATCGTTAATTTAAATTTATCAGAGTTAAAGTTAAAAAAAATCCGAGTTGTCTAACTTTAAGACCGTGGACCGCTATTTTACACTTCCTGTTGAATATGATTGATCCACACACGTCTACTCTAGACCTGTAAACATCAAGTGACAAGCACAGAGGTGTGCACTTAGTTATCGTTCCTGTTTTCATGCAGTGCTTTTATACCTTCAATAACATCGGGTTTTTTTTCAGTTTAATACATGACCTAATACAAAAGTATAAGTTGTTTTGCAGTGAAAATAATAAAATCACTTTTAAATACATTATATTTGTACTAGAATAGATTTATTACAAAATAAAAGTTTGGACAAGAAATCTTGACATAGGGCCTCAAAACTTGTGAAAGATTGTATCTGTAAACAGGACAAGATGGAGACAAAAAGACTACTAAATGACACAAACGTAAGTAGTAATCCTTTAGTCCTTACCGATTAACAGAACCACGTGTTTTGGCAGTTGAAGTAGAGTTTCTCTATTTTCGCTTTTTTATTGCATTCCATACACCATACTAAAAACGCATCTATATTAGAAGTAGATAAAATCTTACCCTCGTAATCACAAATAAAACATGAAGGCGAGGTTTGAACTAATAATTACTGAAACCAGAACATTTATTAATTAAATATAAACTTATTGATACAAGACAAGTTTATTAAAGCTTATGTTGTTCCAGCTATGATATTAGTAGGTAAAAATAACATACACTAAGCCAGCAATGAAGTGGGCCATAGTATCCGTTTTCTAAAGAACCACTATCCGCCTATCCTTTTACCGAACTGCATGCCTGAATGATATGTATCGTCGTTAAGATTACTAAGAAAAAAAATTTAGGGTTAAAGTTCATTTTAATACTTACCAATGAGAAGAAGGGGTTGGAGGTGGGAAATTGTTTATCTATGTAGACGATAAACGATTGCATTTTAGTGTTGTCCTTAATTGAGGTCATGTTATTTCAGATAATTTCCCCCGCCCCTCTCCCCCACCCCCGTCAGGTACAGTGACGTAAAGTTAAACCTTTCCACTTGAGCGACGAAAGGAAAAAAAATTGCCCCTTTTTCAGAAGCGTAGCGAAGCGTTCTAAGCCTCTGTCGTTCACTCTCTCCCCTCTTCCCAATAGCTAAAATTAACTTTTTTAGAAAAAAAAAACGTTTCAATTTTCATTTTCCAAAAGTATATTACGTCACTTTTTTGTCTCATTCTGACTTCCCAGAAAACATTCTCGAAAAAATCAGGCACTCTACGTCATTCAAGAACGATCCCCCCCTCCCCACACCCCTCATAGCTGTGAAAATACAGTGAATATAACCAAAATACAAAGCTGTGAAAGTACTTTATCTAATGCATGTATTACTAAATATAACCCACCTAATGTATTACTCTACTTCAGCCTATATCAAACGACCCCATATATAACCAGAAGTACTAAATATAACCCAGCTAATGTATTACTCTACTTCAGCCTATATCAAGCGACCCAACCAGACCCGGACCCACGTCCTATAACCAGAACTACTAAATATAACCCAACTAATATATTACTCTACTTCAGCCTATATCAAGCGACCCCACCAGACCCAGGCCTACGTCCTATATTAGAACTACTAAATATAACCCAACTAATATATTACTCTACTTCAGCCTATATCAAGCGACCCAACCAGACCCGGGCCTAACCCCTATAACCAGAAATATAACCCAGCTAATGTATTACTCTACTTCAGCCTATATCAAGCGACCCCACCAGACCCGGGCCTAACCCCTATAACCAGAACTACGCCCAGCCTAACCCTAACCACCCAGCTCACCAAATCCCGTACGGAGCCGTTGTCTACCAGCCTATTGGAGCAGGGTATCAACCTAAACGAGCCTGGAGCTCAGGACTCTTCGACTGCTGTAATGATGCCGACTCATGTATGTACTAGATATGTTAGCTTTTGCAATCTACTCAACTACTCATAACCAGAGGCGTAGCGAGGGGGGGGGGGCGGGGTGCGGACCGCACCGGGTGACACCATTTAGGAGGGCGACACCAAGGCAAAAAATAGCAAAATATATAGAGAAAAATTTAAAATCGAAAGTTTGAGGGGGGTGCAAATCGAAAGTTCGAGGGGGGGGGGGGGTGAACATCGAAAATAAATTTGAAAGTTTGTCCCCGGAAAGGGTCGCTACGCCTCTGGGGGGGGGGGGTGACATCATTAAGTGCCGCACCGGGTGACACCCGACCTCGCTACGCCACTGCTCATAACTAGCAGTGTTTTTTTTTCAGTCCGGGGTGGGGGGGGGGGGGAGGGGGACGGGGGGGGGGGGAATTAGACTGCTCCCGTCCCCGTCCCTTCCCGGAAGAATATAAAAAATACTTCATTAAAATAAAATATATATTATTTAACCTTTGTATTATTTTGCTTAGAGTTAAAAAAGTAAAGTTTCCTTTTGTGGCTGGCTGCAAACGGAGCAAGTGAAGTTGAGTTTACTTGTTTCCGTGACCGTGGTGAATGATGGGATAATGTATTCAGCTCATCATTATGATACTTTGGTCAGACACATTTACTTTCCCTAACGTGAGTTAGGTACCCATCAGAACTGGGTGGGCATGGAGAATCTACCGACTTGAACCTGGTTTCGAACTCGAGACTTTCGGGTTAGCCACGCCGTCCCTTTTATCACCCATTAACGTGATATGATCAAACTTATTTTCAAGGTAAAAAATTATCTAACGTTAAACGGTCTAAATAACGACAGACACATACGTAAGGAAGCACAGTCAAATAATCTCAGCACACAGACAGAAATAGAGCGGGGACACATACACGTCTAACTTGAACACATGTAGGCCAAGGACATGCACGCATGGATGCCTAGCCAACGCTAGCCAAAATGAAATGAAAACACACTAAACCAAATTTGACTAAGCCTCACTAACCTTTCCTACAAAAATATACTTATTAAACTTGCTTGAGGGATATAGCATATACACTACATGCATACACTTACAACACACACAATTCAGAGATATACAATACGCACATAAACGCATAAGTGCATACACATAACTGTCATAACTTACATTCTCTAGACATTAAACCTTACTTTGAAACACACTTAACTACATGATACAAACACAAATGGCACACACATCGAGACACAAACACGTTACCAACGCTAAGACGCTATACGAGCACCCAAGTGTTACATTACAACATACAACACAGCACAGTCTAGCAGTTGACAACCACGCCTATATTTTCACTCGTTTTATTTGTAAACACACATTTCTCTCTACAGCCCGCCTGTCTGTAAGCCTATTTCACTCGAGTGTTAAGTCCGCGTTTGATTATACTGAGCTTTTTCAGACCCGGAAGATTTTTATGACTTTATACAGCCGGAAATGTCTTCGTATTTCATCTGTTTTTTTTAACAGCGTAGCTTTTTACTTTACTAGTCACTTTTCTATCAGTAATTTGCTTTACTACAATATTTAAGAAAAGTCTTGTCTGCTTGTTTTGTTTTTAACTCTGCAAAGAGTGTTGTAGTATGATAATAAGATAAGGGATAAAATTATCTATTTTATATTGGGTACTTTTCTGCTTTTTGTTTTGATTTTGCTGCCTTTTAATGCAGAAAAATAATATTTGTTTTTGTTCTTCTGCGTTCTTAATTTATAGTGTTGGAAGAGATTCTCTCCTACACAACTTACGATACGCCATTGAGGCCATGTATACTCCGATTTTAGCCTGCTTTTATTTTGGATTTGCCACCATAGCCTTTGTTTAACCAAGAATAATAATCATTAAAAAAGTTTTAAAAAACCCACGTTTTCTGATTGAACTAAAAAGTAGAAAATAAATGCTATAGGCCCTACATCACAATAATGCAAGCGATCAATCTACTATAAGCGATCAAAAACGTGGGGCGCCGAAGTAAAAGTTATATTACTATTGATTAGATAATACTATTGACTTTTATTAGGGAGCTTGTAGAGAGTCAACAGTATTAGAAACTGTAAGAAAATCACGGCGCCCCACGTTTTTGCTCGCTTATAGTAGATTGATCGCTTGCATTATTGTGATGTAGGGCCTATAGCATTTATTTTCTACTTTTTAGTTCAATCAGAAAACGTGGGTTTTTTAAAACTTTTTTAATGATTATTATTTTCTACTTTTTAGTCTTTGTCTGTTTGTTTGCATTAAAATCTTGCTATCGATTTTATCTTTTCACTTTTTTTGGGTAAACGAAGACAACTCGTAAAAAGACAACTCGTAAAAAGACAACTCGTAAAAAGACAACTCGTAAAAAACACGTTGTTTGAATACGTTACTGACTAGAACACATAGATTTGAACCCGTGTCGAGTGGGATAGCAATCGTGTGCCCAACCACTCGACCATATCGTCTCCCCCAAACTGGACTACCTCCTGTAACTTTAAACTCGGTTCAAGCTAAATTCTCTGCCCCTAAGCCTGTGGCGACATGTGATCGTTCGCTTCACTGCGCGCGAGGTACGCGTCGCTGGTTTTTTTTCTAATGGCTAGCAGAGGATAATTATATATATAGATTATATAGCGGTCTAAAATGCTCAATAAAATGTTTCCATTGATCAATTTAGTAATAATAACAATTGAATATTCAATGGTCATCCAAAAGAAAGCTTCCCTGAAAATTTCAGCGCGCTAGCTAACTGGGAAGTGCCAGAAATTTCGATCGCAAGATTTGATTGGAAAGACAAACAAACACACAAACAGAGAAAGCAAGTTAAAGAAAACGTGGGAACAAACTACAAGGCAGCAGTTGTTTGATTTTGGAGTTGTCTCTCCTAGAAGAGTTGCTGTCCCCAGCTGTCGAATCTCATCTGCCCGAGCAGTGTTTCTTCCAGACTTTTTTCTCCGGGGGGGGGGGGGCACTTGAAATCTTCGGGGGGGCGGTAAACTTTCTTCGGGGGGGGGGGGGCGGACACTGTTAAAAGTATATATTTTCTATATAAATTATATAAATTTCATTTCGTTCGGGGGGCGGTAAAAAATTTTCGGCCGAAGAGATGCCTGGAAGAAACTCTGTGCCCGAGGTTTCGAACTCGAGACTTATCGGTTTAGCAACCATGAGCTTTACCGATTTTACCCTTTTTTTTGTTTATTTTAATGGTACTTTACTATTATTTTTCTGCCTTTAAATGGCTTTTTGTTATTATTTTTCTGCCTTTTAATGGCTTTTTGTTATTTTGCAGGTGTTTATGGCTTTTTGTTATTTTGCAGGTGTTTATGGCTGGTGTTGTCCCTCACTGATGATCTGTGATCTAGCTGAAAGATTTGGGGGATCTGGCGGCTGGTACATGAACACGACGTACATGCTAATGGAACTCAGGCAACAGTTTAAAGCCGTGTACAATATCGTACGTGGATTTTTTTATGCTAACTGGAAAACTATAATACTATATGATATGATATCGGTAGATCAATGCAGAGGCGTAGCCAGGGGGGTACATATGTCCCCGAGCGCCGACCTTAGGAGGCGCCAAAATGGGTTGGAAAAACAAATTAAAATATCATTTTAGCTGCATTTTTGCATTATAAATATAAAAAATATATGGGGGGGGGGGTGCGAATCGAATTTTGAGGGAGGGGGGTGCAAATTGAAAATTGAAAGGTTGCTCCCGAGGGGGCGCCAAATTGAAAGTTTGTTTCCGGGCGCCCTGAAGGGTCGCTACGCCTCTGGATCAATGCAAATCAGATTAGAATAACGTAATATTTATTTTCCAATTTTACCAGATTCCAGTTTAAAACCAAGTACAATGAGCTTTTGTGTTAACTTTTTTTCGTCTTTGTTTGGGTAATTAAAAAAACCTCCTCTCTCATAGCTCTTTCAGAGTAGCCTACCGTAATATGTTTCATTATCCGAATACAATAAGTATGCTTCTGACAAATATGCGAAGAGTTATAATTAGTGAAGAAAGAGATATCGATACAATAATGTTTTTTACATGCGATTTAGGGGTCGTCCATAAATGACGTCACACTCGTAGGGGGGAGGGGGGTCCGTAATTTTGTGACGGTGTGTGATGAGGGGGAGGGATGGTTCAGATGGTGCGACGTCACACTTTTGCATTATAAAAAAGCCATGTTAGAAAACTAATTTTAGACGTTATTTCGCGTTTTAGAAAACTGTTTTAATAAAATACTCTATATAGACAGAGTTCAGACAAGATTTTGGAAAAATATTGATGTTTTAAGAAAAATTTAACTGCAATTTTGAGGGAGGTTGTAGGCTAAGGTTTGACGTCATTTGAGGGGTGGGGGTCTGGCTTTTTGTGACGATGTGTGACGGAGGGAAGGGGGGGGGGTAAAAATCGTCAAAAAAGCGTGACGTCAGTTATGGATGACCCCTGATGGAATTCCTCTTTGAAATGCGTGGAAATCACACGTGTATTGAATTATGTGATTTATATCCAGACAAACTGTAATTTTGGGTACGAAGAGTTTACGAACCCAAAAGTTTCAAATTTTGATCCAGGGCTCGAGTCTGTAGGACGTCCCTGAGTGCACCCAGCTCTGATGGGTGCCTGACTCAAGTTAAGGAAACAAAGGCGACTGGGCACAGTGCTGACCACACTATCCCTATGTATGCCGAAGTCATTTAAACAGGTGAACCAGAGGCGTAGCGACACTTCCCGGCGCCCGGGGACAAACTTTCGATTTGCACCCCCCTCAGGCTGTCGATTTGCACCCCCCCCTTCAAGATTTCGATTTGCACCCCACCCTCTCAAGATTTCGATTTGCACCCCCCTCAAACTTTCGATTTGCACCCCCCTCAACCATTCAATTTATTTTTGCAACCCATTTTGGCGCCCCCTAAGGTCGGCGCCCGGGGACATGAGTCCCCCCACCCCCCCCCCCTCGCTACGCCTCTGAGGTTAACTGTACTTTATCTGCCCCATGTGTCTTGGACACGAACGGGAAAAGTCTGTAGGACGTCCCTGAATCCACCCAGCTGTGATGGGTACCTGACTCACGTTAAGGAAACAAAGGCGGCTGGACAACGTGCTGACCACTCTATCATCCTGTATGCGCGAGTTCATTGAAACCGCGTCATCTGCCCCACGTGTCTTTGGCACGAACGGAAATATGATGATAAAATTGTATCCTTGAATGCTTTAAGAGCGCTATATATAAACGGAATGATCTTAGGTCAAGTGTCAAAAGTCAAAGGTCAACTTCTGATTTCAGGAAGACGATACGGACGATTGTTTTGCGGCCTGGTGTTGTAAGCGTTGTGCGGCCTGTCAGATTGCCAGGGAGATCAAGTTTCTAGAGAGTACCAACCAGTGGAGAGGGCGTTAGGGGGTGTTGTGTGGGGGGGGTAGGTGTTGATGGGTGGGGGTGGGGGTTGCGGCCTGGTGTTGTAAGCCTTGTGCAGCCTGTCAGATTGCCAGGGAGATCACGTTTCTAGAGAGTATCAACCAGTGGAGGGGGCGTTAGGGGGGTGTTGTGTGGGGGGGTAGGTGTTGATGGGTGGGGGTGGGGGTTGCGGCCTGGTGTTGTAAGCCTTGTGCAGCCTGTCAGATTGCCAGGGAGATCACGTTTCTAGAGAGTATCAACCAGTGGAGGGGGCGTTAGGGGGGTGTTGTGTGGAGGTGTTATGGGGGGAGGTGTTAAGGGAGCGTAAGGGCGTGATGTGTGGGTTGGGTGTTCAGAGGGCTCTAGGGGGTGATGTGGAGGGTAAGTGTTGAGGGGAGGAGGGGGGTTAATAGGTGTTGTGGGGGTTATGTATTGGAACTTCAGTGTGTGTTTTGTTGGGTCTAGGTAAGGCGAAGCACAGTATATAGAAGTTATAGAGGACAGGTATGTGTTATGGGGTGTAGGTTTGGAGGGCGTTGTGTGTGTGGTAGTAAAGTGCTGTGGGGGGAGTAGTACGGTGTTTTTGGGGGTGTAGTAGGAGGGTGTTGTGGGGGAGAAGGCATAATATGAGGGAACTGTGATTATTCTTGAACTTTAAAATAAAAACCAAGCATGGTGAATAGATCTGGACTTAAAAGATTACATACCACATAAGTATCAAGATAGATCACTCGTGGAGCAAGCTGGGAAAATTACCTTGAACAAAAAACTTTGTAGAATGTTAGCTAAATTAGCTAATAATTATACATACAAGACTTTATTTTTATATTTTATAAGCAAATTTAATTTTTTTCGTTATACATATATTCAAGTAAAATAACCCTATTGTAAAAACAAACTGGCTGGTGTTGTTTTTTTTTTTTTTGTCATCTTAAATGTCTATTAAAGAATCTGTTTATTTTTTTTAATATAGAGAGATTGTTATAAAGTAGTGTAATGTTGGGATAAAAGCAAATACTTGGACTACCCTTCTGTTGGTTTATGTGAGGGTTTTTTTTAGTGTGAAATGAGTTAATAATAATAACAATAATAAAGAATAAGTAGCGTTACAAGGCGAGGGCGGGTGGTTCGAACCAGGTGACACCACTTTGGGGGTGACACCGAATAGAAAAATCGTAGAGGAGGAGAAACGTGACATCTTCTTACATAAATTGTTGGAGGTGGGTGACACACGCCCAAGATACGCCACTGAAAAGAACGATATGTCCTAGAGTCGACATTTTTGTTAGGAAGTCAGTTTCCAGATTTAATTTTGTCACAAAATTGTCCAGAATTTTCTTATTGTTAAAAAGTTTTCAACTTGTCAATAATTTTGTTTCCATAAGATACCCTTTTTATTGTCCTGGATACTTTAGTAGGCCATTGGCAAAAAACTTTTAAAATGTCTATGATGCAGTGAACATATAAAGTTGATTGTAGTAACACTAGGTACGTGTGTCGTATGTTGAGGCTATCGTTATACAGCTCAATCAAGGATACACTATGTCTAGACTAGACACTAGACTATCGATGAATTATCTTTGATTCAGTAGCTTTGAGATATAATAAATCTAAGTTATAATAGATTTAAAATAAAATAGGTATGTGTAAATGTGTCTTTAAAAAAAGTTGTTAAATTAAGTATATCTAGGATATAGTAGGATATAGTAGGTCGAATAGTAGGATTTCAGGGGTCTTAATATATTAAAATTGTGATGTAATTGACATGCGAATACAAATCGTGATTGTAGATCAGTTTTAGACGAAGATATCGCATAACTGTGTTATGTTCAACACAAAGAATAGTGAGAAATATGATAAATTGTAGAGAAACTGAAATATTACACATTGTCTTTTCCTAGAAAATGGTAAGTATGTTTGTTGACAAAGCTAATGTGTTACACAGCACGTAAAACGACTAGTATAAAGTAAAGACAGGATGCGGCTTATTTTAGATACAAACTAGGGGTAGACAACTCAATGTAAAAAAATCTTTATAATGAAGTCTAGTTTCAACAGTATATTTTCTTTATATATGAATCAGGGTCAGATAGGTTGTCAACAGTTTATAACTTTGAACTCTTCACACAAATCTGTGTTTATGATCTAATCATCACTGTTTCCTTTCCGGAAATCTCATTTAGAAAGACACAAACCTTCCCGTGAAAGCGGGGTTTTTAATTAGACCTGGGTTTTTCGTACTGGTTTCGTTTATGCAATGACTTCGACTTGAGCAATTAAATCTTAACAAACTTTCACTTGTGTGGTCCACACTCTTTACTGTTGTGTTTTCGGATATTAATTTTCGAACAACTAATTACGTGCATTATTCTAATTAATCATAGTGCTGACCACACTATCTGTTCATATGCCGAGGTCACAGAAACAAGTGAACTCTACTTCACTTGCTCCATAGGCCGTCAGGTTTGAAAGGGAAACTTTTTTATTCTAATTAATCAACCTTGATTTCGGAAGGATATATGATTTAAAAAAAAAAACGAGGATTTATATGAATTGATGAATCAAAGTGTAAATCAAACAAGTTTGGTAACAGAATAATGCTCACAATCAAGATAAAAGAAAAACAAGAGCTGTTCGCTATAGTGTGTGTTTGTTTCTTGTTGGGGGAGGTAGTGGTAGCATCTTTAGGTAAGTTGCGTGCACGGACACACACACATGTATATATATATATATATATATATATATATATATATATATATATATATATATATATATATATATATATATATATACATATATATATATATTTCAAATTTCAAGATGAATATATTAATATGTATGAATATATATATATATATATATATATATATATATATATATATATATATATATATATATATATATATATATATATATATATATATATATATATATCTTGACATTGAATTTTTTAAACTATAGTACCCTCCAATTTCACTAATTCCCAGTGTAACGTAAATGATTTACAAAAACATTTTTATGGTATTAATGACCATTTTAATATAAATTTTAGATAAGCATGCACATTATTAAAAAAATTGACAATTTTAATCTTTACTTTTAATCTCTAATTTCCTCTCCAATCTAAAATCTGAGGTTGACTTTCGTTTTGTTTGTGTACACACGTACCTTAACACTTTGAACCGAAGCCTTACAATCAGGAAACACTTAAACTTACTTATTCTAATTTAGATCGGTTTCCGCATAAAGAGGAACTACAATGAGTAATTTTGTAATGATCGATGCATATCCTTTTGAAGCTAAAATGTTTCTTCAACATTTTACAAAACAATATAAATGTTTTTATTTTTCTAAACTTTGATCACACGTATTTTGGATCAGCGCACATCACATGTACAATAGAACATAACCAAGCTTTTAAAAGGAACATTGTAAATTGCTTCAGTCTGTGTGACGGCGTGTTAACTCCTAAAGTTCAAAGTTCGAACCCTCGGCCATATGAGGCTCGGGGACAGCGACCAAACTAGGAAAAAAAACCTCGATAATCAAATAACTGCTGCCTTGAAGTGGACACATGCAGAATCTAATTCAGAAAGAAAAGCAGTCTGAAGTCTTAGTCAACGGGGTCCTAGGTGCTTTGACCACAGGTGCTTTGACCATAGGGGGTTTGTCCATAGGGGGTTTGACCACAGCGGAGCTTTGACCATAGGGTGTTTGATCATAGGGGGTTTTATCACACCGTGGCTTTGACCTGTGGTCAAAGGTCCGCGCACCGTCAACGGACTCACGTTGAATGTAAACACGCTATACTTAAATGTGTTGGATGAAATCCCTTTCAAACAATAAAATTAAAACCTAATAAATAGAATAGAAGAAGTCTATAAGAAACATAATTGGATCAAAGCAGGCTTTGCAAAATAAACAGCTTATTTAAAAATAGCTTTTTAACTAAACCGGAATTTTATTTCGAAAGAAATAGAAAAATATCAGAAACTGGGTAAAAAAACAACATGAATACAAGATTTTACCCCAACCTCACAAACATACAACTATTGATTTACTATTGTGACTGAAGTTATAGATTGTGACATCATCTTCGACATTACACATCGTCCTAGCCTCGTCAATGCTACTTTCATTAAAATTTGATTTAGATCTATAGTTTTACTTATCGAGACGTAATTTATGAAATTTATAAAATTTCCTCGGCAAAAACTAATACAAATTACTTTAACAAACAACATAAATACCATTGAAAAGCCGGGTTTTTAACGAAGTCATTTAAGTCTTTTAATCAATGTGTGCATTTAATATGGTGTTGTGTTGACTAATTAGGTATATAATTTGTTTTGGTTTTCTAATAGGTATTAGTAGCCTATGTTATTTTTAATGTGTCTGACTTTTAGCTATTTAGTTATTTCTTTGCTTTGTCACTAATATCGTTAAACCTGTTCACGTGTAACGGGTACCAACGGCTAGTCCTCTATAAACAGCCACCAATTAGACTGTTCTATACTCTCGTAACACTCACTCAATATGGATGCTTATTACCCACTGAGGTGTAGTGTTTAAAAGGACTGACCCTGAGATAAAGCACACAATGGAACGACGCTACTGTTGTCAGTTACTGGCTTTATTGACATTAACATCAAGCCATAAACGGCGATGTAGAACAGTAGAACAGTAGAAACACAGTAGAACACAGTAGACAAACTACTGATGACCAAATATACTGTAGAGAACAGTAGAACACAGAAAAAACTGTAGAACACAGCAACTGTAGCCCTTCATTAGGTCTACATGATCTACTTATAGGCAACGTCACCCTCCGTGTCCACAGCAGCCTTGGGTCTGACTGACACGGCCACAGGCACAAACTGCCCATAATCCCATGTCACATGACATAGAACACAGGTAAAATTCGCTCACCGAAGAGCGTGAAAAAACGACAACAACAGTTGCGGTCCCACAGGGGCCACAACCCAATAAATTTCAACTTATTATTTA